ACGGTACTATATATATATATATATATATATATATATATTACACAGAGTTTTCGAATTAGAAAATTACGTCGATTCATCATTAACCATTTTCGAAAACCAACGAAATAAAAATTTTAAAAAACCTTGGAGTAGCCAAAATCGCAGATTTTCAGACGAGGGGCTGGGCTTCCGTCGAGCAACGTGTTCTCCAGTTTCAGATCTCTGTGGCATATTTGCTGCGAAGTTTCAAAAGATTCAGAGGAAAATGTATATTGATTTTTAAATTTTTATTGAGGTCAGTCGTATAACTAACTTCATATGGTTTAATTTACTTTTATTTGAATTCCGGATGTAACTAAGAGTATCCCCAAAATACTTTTAGGGCATATATTATTTATTTTATTTTGTGGTTCATTGCTGCGTTACATCGTTTTGCTACGTATGCATTTTTGCTGCAGTATAGTCATATTTAGGGTAAAAAAATTTGGAAAATTAAGAGAGGAGAAAAGTAAATAATAATTACCATAGTATGCAGGTAATGGACCCCACAAATGAGCTGCTGAAAGAAATATCTTGCCTGAAAGGAATTAATTAATAAAAAAGCAAATATGTGAATTGTAATCAGTTGAAAATGTGAAATGACTTGACCTTATGGAGCAAGTGGAAAGGGGCCAAAAACATAACCCCTATGAACTTAGGTTATTTAAATTTTTATCAAGTTCGATCTTGTCACAATCGTATTTGCCAATATAATTTTTTAATATTTATAAATATTTAAATTGAAATTAACAAAAAAAAAGTAAGGATAATTTTGTAATTTCTAATAAATAGAATGGGTATTCTTGTTATTAAAAAATTAAAATAATTCCATAATTTTGAGAAAGATTAAAAGAAAATTTTGTAACTAAAAGTAATTTCTTATTTTTTGATAAATACAAAGGATATTTCGAAAGTTTTAATAAATACAAAATCCAAATCCGAATCTAACTTAAATGTAATATCAACTAGATTCCGAATTGTTTGAGTATCCGAAAACGTTGACCAACCCTAACCCCGTTGAAATTAAGTTTGACCATTTCATTTTCATACCTCGGCTTCGCTAAATCTACCGGCGTTGCAAATTCGGTCGAACAGCTCTCCGCCGGCTGCGAATTCCATCACAATGCCGAGATGCGTCGGCGTCAGAACCACCTATTCCGTACATGAACCACAAAAAAAACAAATTAACTTTTAAAAAAATTCCAAACTTAAGATAATTTTAAACGTTGTTTTGTTCCGAATTTAAATTTTAAAATTTGGAGAAAAACATTTGTACAAAATTTTTCGAGATTAGTATGAGTTTCGATTCAAGATATCCAATTACAATTTTTTTTTTAAAAAAATAATATAAAAATTACTGCACTTACCTCCTTAAAACGGATAATATTAGGATGCTTGAGAGATCTATGGTTGATTATTTCCCTCGCAACGTTCTCGTCTATCTGTTAATCATTCGTTTGGTTATAAAAAAAACGGACAGATTCATCAACAAGACATTCGAAAAACAGAAAAAAAAACGAAAGAAAAAAAGGTTTTTAAAAAAAAAATCTTAATTTTGATCTAAGCCATGCTCATGCTTTGCATGCTGATCAATTACCCTATCGAGCTTGTGATCTTTCAGCCCTAATCGATGCTCACGTTTTTCTTTTCATATTTCTCAGAAGAAATTCGAATGAGATGCAACATGAACTAAGAATACAAACAAATAAAGTAAATTATGGGTAAACTGAAAGAAAATAAGCTGTGGATCGATGATTCTTTTTTTAAAAAAAATTTAAGTGAAACCTTGTAGCCTCGGTCGATGAATTTCACTGCAACGAGCTCCTTTGTTTCCTTGTGACGCATAAGGCGAGCAAACCCGAAATTCCCAGAACCCAAATCCTTCATCATCTCGTACTTCTCCATCTGTACTCTCAAGCTTAATCAAAGAACTGTGGGTTCATAACGTGTGTATATATATATATATATATAGATATACATATATCATTGTATATGGAGTTATGTGTTTATTATTGGGTAGAGAAGTTTTTATATATATATATATATATAGAAAAGAAAGTTAAGGGCATGGGCCAATAGGAGAAAAAGCACAAAGAGAAAAAAATAATGGTAATGTTATTTTTTGCGTACCTAATGCACCAACATGAATATCTTTTTACCAAAGTAACAAAACACACACACACACACACACACCGAATAATATTAATTTAGCCTAATTAAAACGTCAATCATGAAATTCAATTGATTTCGGTGCATCTGTAAGAAAAAGAGTTAATTATAATACAGTTCTCCTCCTTCACATGCATTCAATGATTAGATGTAGAAAAAATTTTAATAGAAATATAGGGATATCCAAATTGAAAAATAGAAAATACTAGAAAATTTTTATTTATACTATCAAATCATATTTTAAAATTTTTATTATTTTAATAATTAAATTATAATATTTCAGGTGTAGAATATAAATACATTAGGGTGTCAATAATAATAATAATAATAATAGAGACGAACCGATTGCAGGAAATTCAACGGTCTTTTCTAACGTCAAAGCTGTCATTTAATTAAAAGTACTGTTCATGCGTTACAAAAATGAGTTAGTGGCGTTGAACCAAAAAAATCTGATGCTAAAGAAAGACTTAAGAGCAAACGATTATTAAAAAAAATGAAGCGAGAGGAGGTCACATTGATGACAAATTTCTGTGTTTCCCTTTAATTTCTCGTTTATTTGTAATAAATATGGAAGGTGTGGATGGTTGCTATCAATTTGATATAATTTTATTTAATTTAAATGGATTTGATTTGGTTTAATTTGGTAATAGATTTCTTTCTTTCTTTTTTAATTTCTTCATTTGAAATAAACAGATAATTTTTTCTTTAACTTTAAATGCTCAAATTTGACAATAAGATGATTTATACACAAGATACAAATGTATATTTATCGATGTAGGAGAAGATATCCGATGATTTCACCACGAAAGCTCAAGCATTAGGACAATGAATATGTTTTATATAATTAATTTTACATAAAAAAATCAAATAAAAAAATCATGTTTTCACGTGAAAATCCAACAAAAATAAAAAATTTTGGTTTTTAATTGTTTTTTTCAATAAAATAATTTACCAAGTTTTTTAAAAAAGAAATCTATTAAATTTTGATTGGATATTTTTTACTTTTTTGGATTCCAAAAACCCAAATATCTATCCATTCAATCCCTAAATTTGATTTCTTTCATATATTTTTATATTGCCAAGCAGTTATTTTACTTCAATTTTATTAGGAGTATACTGAGAGATTTTTGTTTGATGGATTCGATTTATTCAAGGGAAAAATAAACAAAAAGAGCGATTTATTTCAGCCAACATAAATCTTATCCTGATACCATTTTATCTTTATAAATTATTAATTAAATAATTAATAAAATCTTAAGAGATCGTCATCGGACCCTAGTAGTAGTAACTACGAGTCAAAAGTGAACAAAACAAATTGAAATAAAATATATGTTTATTTTTATTTCGAATTTTCGTTTAAAGACGAGCATTTTAATTCATTATACACTAATGTGATGAATTATTGTAAAAAAAAAGGCCATTGACGGTAAAAAAAAAAAGTATAGAGAAAGAAGCCATTAAAACCAGAGAGACCCTTCAGAGCTTACTAGTGATAGCTAGGTATTTGGTATGGCGGCCTTGAGCTATAATCTTGCCAGTCTTCTTCTTCCTCAGTTCGACGCTCACGACAGCAACAGCCTTACCGACACGCAGCGATTTGGCTTCAATCTCTATCTCCTCCTGTAATAAAAGAGAGAGCACAAAGTAAGGAGGAAATCAATGATCCAACTTTTGTACTCGCAGTTCTATCAGTAAAAGAGTTGTGCTACAAGTATTGTCAGATCTGAATTCATGTAAATGCTGTTCCTTTTCAATGTTTCCGAGGCAAACAAGTTGAACCCAAGTTGGCAATTATATAGCAGATCAATCTTCTGCATCAACAACAATCTTGTAACGTATAGAAAAATTGTGATTGGCTTCCTCTTTCTCTTCAATTTGCTCATCTTCTGCAATTTTTCCTACTTGGCAGATTGCATTCACATCATTTCCAGTTCTCAATCTGCATAATATCATGGTACCAAACACGGGGAGAAAAAATCGAGATGCTCCTCATCCTAAGACATAGTTTGGATATGTTAATGTATGGAAAGAACATATTCAACATCTAGAAGATTCAATAAAAAAAAAGACAACATGACAGTTTGAAGGAAAATGCAAATGGAGCAACAGTGGGAACTTGACATATTAAATAAATGGAAAGAGCAAACAAAAAGGAAGAAATCTCAACGCAAAGGGAAGTCGAATATTGTGCAAGAAAATGGAAACACAACAAGAGGATGGCTACATAAAGGAAGCGTGCACAATCATAGGGCGTGTCGAGTTTTTACAAGAAAAGAGAGTGGAGAGCAAACTTGTGTGAGAACTATATGTATGGAAAACAATAGTGAGAGTTACTTGAGAGATAATATGTTGTATTTGATGTGGGCTTTAAAATAACAGGCGAACCGATCAGATTGTCTAGACGATTCTCGAGTTACACAGGGTGCGCACGACACAAAGAGTGTATGCATTAACAGAATTTCTTGTGGTAAGATGTTTTGTTTAGAGGCAGTGAAACATGTGGTTGAATGCTAAAACCAAGTGTACTTGATTTTTGCCAAAGAAATAGAATTTGAGTGTTTGAGTACATTATCACTTGGCATCAAGGCCATGTTGATGATGTTTGATGTTGATGCCGATGTCGATGATTTCAGACCCAACCAAACAGTAAAGGGAATTTAAGAGAAGGAAGAAAACTTACATCAACATAAGCAGCGTCAAGGTATGAAACATTGATCTCGACCGAAACTCCCGTCTGTGGAGCTCCGAGAGTGAATATCACTGCAGAACCTACCAGATCCACCAGCGTCGCCGTCGCTCCGCCGTGCAAGAAATTACCTGAATTCTGAGTTCCACCAAAATTGGAAAACCAAAATCTGAATTCCACCAAAATTGAAGTTATCGATTTCTTCCACAAAAAAAAACCCAGATTGGAAAATATTCCCGGGAAAACAAACAGCCCCGTTCGAAATTAGAGTAGACGACTACATGAGGACGGATTGAAGCAATTTTAGTAACAAACTCTTTGATAAACCCCATTTCCAGAGCTTTTCCGGAAACCAAACAGACCGCTGATCGGAATTAGATTTAGGGTTTACGCAGAAAAAGGGAAAGCATAGTTGAAGAATGAAGAAAGAGATTATTGATTATGTGGAAGATCGTGGTCGGACGTGGGTTGATGTATATATACAACTATACATATACGAAGATAAAAATGCCCAAGAAAGAGAGGTTTTACCAGGAGACGAGGAGGGACTTTCATGGAGCAGATGACGCGACCACGCTCGATCAGCTCAATTTTAAGGCATCCCGCAAAAAACCGCTCAAAGAATCTGTCTGGCATCGTATTTTTGGATCCACTGCTGTCGTCGCCTTCATCGCCTGCTTTCCCTTCTAGATATCGTTTCACAGTTTCAATGTCCATGGCGTCCCTGGAAATTTTCCCACTTCTCCCCCACAGGACAAGATTATGATATCAATTCATAATTGTTGGAAATTGAATCGCGTTGGGGGACGGGGAAAAGGGATTTTTTTAAAAAAAAAAAGAAATTGAATTAGCATTTTTTCCCCTTCACAAATTGAATCACATTTAATTTATTTGTTTTAGCTCTACCGAAAATGAAATATGTCTTTTTTTTCACTAATTTTTTTTTGTCATGTTTAAAACGAAAAAAAAAGGCCTTGACTAAACGAAAAAGAAATGGAGATTAGTGGGGGAAGTGATAATTGAAGATCTAGAAACAACTTCAAAAAATTTCTAGAAAAAATAAATAAATTAAAAGTCAAAATGTACAATTTTATATCTGATCATGTTGTGATATGAAAAAATAATAATAATAATCGAGTGAAAGAAGGTAATTTAATTCTTACGAAATCGAATAGTTACTAGTTATTCGGTGTGTTGGTTTCATTACGAAGATTAAAAAAAAGTTTTCTATTAAAATTAAAATTTTACACAAGGTTTGAATAAGAGACCACTATCGTTTATTTCAAGATTCTACCAATTAATGAATTAAAATAAAATTATCTTATGGTATCCACAAGTTAGTCTCTATACTTTTTTTTTTTAGATACAATTTATATTACAAACTTATTTAGATGACATAATTGATCCAATTAATACAGATCTGATTTGATATGTGTTGGCTCACGTAATGATTATTGAAAATAATCCAACAATCTATAACCCATTCAGACCTACACATATAATCACTGGTTGGTATGTATAACAATTTCGATTTCATATTTGTTATTCTTATCAACAATTCAACAATTTCATCTATGAAAACATACTGATCTAAGAACCATATTAATTTTAGAATTGTGAGTTAGCCATATGATTTATAATATACGTTTCTTTCCAAATTTAAAGTTCAAATTTGGAACAAAACATATATTTTATCTTCATTTTATCGGTTGAATTATCTGATAACTATAATAGTATTCGTAGTATTTCATGACAAGATGTATCAAAATATCCAAATACATTGTTAAGGGTTGCAATATAAAAATTACGATTATGGATAAATATAAACATACGTATTTTTTTACCGGTTATTTTTTGTTAGATCAACATCTTAATTGTTTTAAAAAGCGAAATTCACCTTAACCAAAGTTATGCAAAACCTTTATTTCTTTACAAAAATAGTATCAATCTCCCACTAAAACATTATATATGAAAGATATACTCATACGAACAACACACTCGAGAAAACTATTGATGATTTTTTTAAAAGAAAATCTCATATAAATATGCCGGCTTTTTAAAATGTGTCAAATAAATACATTAATTTTAATTTGATAATATAATATCCCAAATATTAAAATATGTCAAATTAATATATCAACTTCTGAAATTGAAGTCAATTCCTAATCAACACCTTTATAGGTTTGTTAAAAAAAGTCTAAATCGGTTTGGAACTTGGTTGGGAATTACTCTTAATTTCAAAGTCAATTTTACACATTTTTAAGAGTTGATACATTAACTTGATATGTTTTAAAATTTTAGAGTATGATATTATCGAATTAAAAATTAAGTTATTTATTTGATATATTTTGACAATTAGAGTATTTATATGAAATTTTTCCAAATTTTTTTTTGGAAAGATTAGTATGCTTGGAAAATAAACTGACCTTTTCTGAATCTAACAAATACATATCATTTAGTTATTGAAGCGTTCTTTCTTGTAGTCAAGTGACAATATTTGCGATGCAGACAATTGAACACAAAGGATCTAAACACCAAATGAGAAAATTGTTTATTTATTTATTTATAAATCGAATGTCTGGACCAAATTTATTTTCGAAAGGACCGGAAAAACACAAAGGCGAATATCAACTCTAAATGTTAGAAAAGATGTTTTTGCTCCACTCCATATCATATCAGTTGAACCATTCAATTTTGGATATAAAATTAATTTTTATTAATGAGTTCGGACCATTTAGAGAGACCATTTGGTTGTTTTAAAATATAAACGGAGAAATTTTTCAAGTTTATCGCGTCAATGTGTACAAAATGGAATGTGTACACATATAATCATAGTTGAAGAATGAAGAAAGAGATTATTGATTATGTGGAAGATCGTGGTCGGACGTGGGTTGATGTATATATACAACTATACATATACGAAGATAAAAATGCCCAATCAATTTTTTTTGAAGAAAATTGGTTAAAATATGGTTAGTCTTCTAATAATTTTTTGTATGTAATTAAAACTTGATTTTATAATAGTATTAATATTACCCAATTAATCTTTTTGAGATATACACCACCGGAGATAGGAGTCGAATGTCTGGACCAATAGGCAAATGGGTCACGAAATGTCTCAGTCGTAGAAAAACAATCAAATCAAAACAGAATCCGAATAAATTAAGCCAAAATCATTTATATTACGAAAATAATAATAATTGTTAACCAATTAGAAGATTATTAAATTAAATAAATCAATTATCCGCCAAAAAAAAAATCCTAATTTACAAACTGTCCGCACATTCAGAACTTCAAATCCCCGGATTTCTACTGACATTCACAGATCTGTGCCAGACTTTTCGATGAAATCAGATCAAAGAAGATTCTTCTTCTTCTTCTTCCTCTACAATTTTTGATAATCACGTTGCGCAATATCTTTCATCGTCATCTTCTTCCCCCATTCCTTTTTAGCTTTCCTGTTGTTTCTGTGTGTTTGGCTGTAACAGTAATGGCGAATTTCTGAAAGAACTGAAAAAAGGGGGGGAAAAAGAAAAAGGTGTTTGGCATTTTTCGTTTTCCTTTTCACATTTTCTCATGTGGGTCTCAATCTCTTAGCTGTTTCCTTCGCTGATGGTTTCATTTTTCTTCGCTGTTCTTTTCAGAACATGGGTGCTAGACTTTCCGGGCCAGTTTCTCCACTGAATCTTCTCTGATGGCGTGAATTTTGAGGTACTTGTTTGGTGCCATGTTACGTTAAGAGGTTGCTCAAGTTTTACACCTCAAGCAATCACCAAACCGGAAATTCGAATCTCGGGAAATTCCGCTTGAAGATTTTCTAGTTAGTGGCCGATTTGGTCGGGGAGTAGATTCTAAGGGAGATCAGAAATCGCCCACCAGAAACGGCTTATGTTCGAAATAAACTGAGATGGGAGTCTGAATTTTAGGTGGTCGAAGATGGATCGGAGGAGTTGGCTATGGCGAAGAAAGTCGTCGGAGAAAAGCCCCGGCGAAACAGAGAGTTCGGGTTCCATTTCTTCCCATTCCGAGAGATTTTCAGATGATCAGGTAACATCCGATCGTGATTGTGTTATCCATAGATTTCTTCACAAATTAGAATGCACCCAAAAGACATACATTGGTAGACGACATATGGGTTTTGTTCTTAATAGTTCTGTGCCCTCCCTAAGCCTCACCTAGTAGCAATTGATGTGCTGTTTCTTGGTTTGTGAATCCTCAGAGATCACAATCACCAGACTTAACCTCTAAAGCTGCAACAATGGAGGAGGATGTCACAGCCGACATCAAGACCCTGTCTGAGAAACTCTCCTCTGCTCTTCTGAATGTCAGTCTCAAAGAGGAGCTTGTCAAGCAGCATGCCAGGGTGGCCGAGGAAGCTGTCTCGGGTACGTATGAGACGTCGAACTCGATGTTCTTTGTGCTGCCCGTTGGTTATGGATGAATGTGCATTACCATGTTTCTCCTTCTTTTGTATCGGTTCTTTGGGTGCTAGGCTGGGAAAAGGCGGAAAAGGAAGTTTCCGCTCTAAAGCAACAACTTGAAGCTTCTGTGAGTAAGAATTCAGCTCTCGAGGATCGGGTTGGCCATCTCGATTGTGCACTGAAAGAATGTGTCAGGCAACTCCGGCAAGGAAGAGAGGATCAAGATCAGAAGATCCAAGAAGCTGTCAACAAGAGATGCCAAGAGTTGGAAATTAGGAAGTCTGAGCTCGAGACCCAAGTCGAGGAGCTCAGAGCCAAGGAGGGGGCTGCTGCATCAGTTTACAACGACCTTCACCCGAAACTCGAGCTTTTAGAGAGAGAAAACTCAACTTTGAAGCTTCAACTTGTTTCGAAATCCGAGGAGCTGGAGATTAGAACCATAGAGAGGGACTTGAGCACTCAAGCAGCTGAATCTGCTAGTAAACAACAGTTGGAGGGCATAAAAAAGTTGACTAAGCTTGAAGCAGAGTGCAGGAAATTGAAAGCCATGGCAAGGAAATCGTCGAATTACCATGATCGGAAATCTCAACTAGATAACCAATTCGATGACAGCGAGAAATTGTCTTCGACTGAAAATGATACGAGCAAGACACGTTGTGACACCGAGCTCAGCACCTCTGAGAAGGTTATCAGAAAAACCCTGAATTCTCCTAAGGTAGAAATCAATCTCATGGATGATTTTCTTGAAATGGAAAAGCTTGCGGCTCTTCCGGATCCTGAACTGGGAAACAGGCATTCAGAATCTGGCAAGGCATCAGAGAAGCCCAATGCTCAATTAAAGCATGAACTCGAAACCTCACTTTGTAGGATCTCTGAGCTTGAGGAGAAGGTAGAGATGGTAGAGGTGGAAAAGCTGCAGCTGGAAATGGCTCTGGATGAATCCCGAACTCAGATCGAGGCATTGCAAAGTCAATTAAGGGATACAGAGGGGAAGCTATCCGAGTTGAGGAAAATGAGCACTCGGAATCAGGAACTAGAGATGTCTCTGGCGGAATCAGAAAAGCAACTCGAGGATCTGCAAAATCAGCTAAACAAAGCGCAAGTGAATTCTTCGGATCTAGAGACAACAAAAGCAGAAAAGCTGGAACTGGCCATCTGTTTAAATGGGACCAAGAAGCAGCTTGAGGCATCTCAAAATCGGCTTAGGGACACAGAGAAAAAAATAACAGATCTTCAAACTCTGCTCCGTCTAGCAAATGATGCAAAAGAAGCGGCCGAGGAGAATGAAAAAGCTGCAAACTTCAAGATGGAAACGGCAGAGACAAGGCTCAGAGACGTTGAAGCAGAGGCCAAAGCCTTAACCCTGAAAATTTCTTCTTTGGAAGATAGTGTGGAAATGGAACGTGTCTTATCGTCCAAACATTTGGCACAGTGCCAAGAACTGAAGGACGAGATCTCGAAACTAAAGCACGAAGTTTTGCAAGACGGGGAAGATGAACTCTACGATGTGAAAGGGTTTGATGATGATTTCAAGCTGAAGCAGGTCAGTTTATCTTCTCAGCTCTGAATGTGGCATTCATAGATGCATCTTTATGAACACACAAATGGCCAATCTTGACACGAGGAAAATATTTATATGCAAGATGCACAAAATCCCGAATTCGATTTCTCATGCGAGACAGAGGTAGACAAGATAAAGGTCAATCGCGGGTTAACTACTTAGACCGCCTCTCGGAAAACGTTATGCTGACAAAAAAATTGCCCTTGAATTTACTCGGCAAACTATCTTGCTTATTGGCATAAGCATAGCCTCCAGGACATGAAGTTTCTTGTTTGTTAAAACTTCTTACGTTGTCATGAATTGACAGGATAAGGAACTAGCAGCGGCAGCTGCCAAATTCGCAGAGTGCCAGAAAACAATAGCTTCCCTGGGCGAGCGGTTGAAATCTCTCGCTACGCTCGAAGATTTCTTGCTTGAATCTGAGGACCCATCAACTCAAAAGAACCTGGATGATGGTCAGTTGAATCTAACTAATACAACGAATTCCGAATCCTCTAATAGAAGTAGAGAGTACATAAACGATTCTCCGAGAAACCGAAGCCATGAGGAGGTTTCCCTTCCCTCGGCCCAATTCGATTCATCCTCAAGAAGCCGAAACGGACTCGAGAGGTTTCTGAACAGAGGCAAGAGTGTAAGGAGGATGTAACTTTTTTTTCTCTCTTTTAAATTATCTGATTTCACCTCTGTTAATATCAAGCACATGCTACAGAGCTATATGCAAATACATGAATATATATAAAGCAAGACTACAGTGAAAAATCGAAAAATAATACCCTTTTCATCTCATCAACTGCCTTCTTGTTGCTTACAGATATCGGTTTATTTACTTTCGGGGTATGTTGCATCTACGTATTACAAGTTTGCAACTTTGCAGGACTTAGAACAGAAACACGAGCATCATCTGAATGTTATAAAGGGACATAGTCCGAGTGTTTTCATGCGATGGGCCGAAACACAATCTTATTTTCAGACAGGCAACCGTTTTCAACACAAACCTCTCCGCTGTATTAGTTATTGTTGAGCAGATCATAGTAAACCTCCGGTTTTCTGCAGTCTTGCCGGCACAAGACCTGCGACCAGATCAAATTAGAATCGAAATATATTCCGTAAATGATCTCGAACATGGCACCAAATGATGATGCAAGCACCTGCATCGCGAACGCGAGATGAATAAGTGTTGCTTCAGACCAAGGCTTCCCTATGAACTGAATACCGATTGGCAAACCGTCTTTGTCGTATCCAACCTGCAGATAAAGAAATTCTGTTTCTGTTTCCGGAGGATCGGGAAACGGAAAGATTTGAGAATACCGATCGGGTTTTGCAGAATGTACCGGAACAGTTACAGCGGGTAACCCGAGAAAATTTCCGGCTATCTGATACTGAACCAGTGCAGCTGCAATTGTGGGAATTCTCATTTGAATTAGCATGAAAATTTGTAAGAGAGAGCATTGGCTGGCAACATCTTATGAATACATTTACCTCCGTTGATGTAGTCAAGTTCACCTGTCTGAAGAGCATCATCCAGAATCGGGTAAGCAGTTACACTGTTCGGAAACAAAAAGATCAATTTTGTTGTCAGAAATTGTTCGAGCCTCTGCTTGCATGACCAAAATGAACAAAGAATACCCGGTTGTCGGCACAACGATAACATCGGCCTTCTCAAATATTCTCCGATGAATTTGCTTCTGACGGTTCCTGTTATATTGATGGACGACATTAGTGCAAGCAACTGGTTAAACTTTAAGAAGATTCTATGTTACTGACCTCATTTTCTGAGCCATCACATAGTCTTTGCCGCTGAAAGCGCCATATAAACCGAGAGCCACTCTCACGTCCCATCCAAGTTCGGAGTAGTTTCTGTTTCAATGCAGAGCATCAGTGTCAGAAACCCGAATATCGTATCGAACCATCCATCATCATCATCATCATCATCACTCACATTTTCCCGAGATATGAGCTGAGCGAAGCGATACATTCAGTACCCATAGTCAGATAGTGAGCAAGACGCATCGCTTCTATGTCTGGTATCGACACCTCGACGGTCTTTCTTACACATGAAAACGCACGTAGTCGGAAAACGATGATGTTTTTTGTTACAGAAGTTTCATGAATTGTACCTTCCAGTTGTAGTTTTCACAGAGCCGAAGCAGAGCTTCGGAACAACATAGTCTTATGTCACTGCTGCAGTCATTGAACCACTAACAACACAAAAGGGAAAAAATGCTGAAGAAATGAGATCTGAAACAGAAAGAAATCGCATCAGTAAGACGAAAACAAGGCCGAACCTTTTCATATTTTGCCAGTCGGATGTCTGTGATTCCCGTCGTTGAGTTCAGCATCGGAAACGACAATCGCCGCTGGTACAAGTGAGAAGAAGATTAAAACAGAAGAGACTCTGAAAAGAAAGATTGTTTATGGCAAATGATTGTATCAGATCAAAAGCTTATTTTACCGGTGAAGTTATCGGCTCTTCTGATGGAAGCTGACCGCTAATGGCTGTGTATCTAAGAGGAACGAGGAAATAAGAAATCGGAAAGCATTCGTTCGGGGTTATGTAATATGCGATCGCTTACACGATGAACGCGTCCTCTACCGTGGCTGCAAGAACTCCGACCATTCCAAGCGTCCAGTTCAAAGGAATGACTCTACATTGAACAGAATCTCACAGGAACTGTTACCACAACAGAGATTATGTTCCTGTGATTAGGAAATAAAACCGTTTTTCCTACCCCGAATGCGGAATACGGCCAAAGGTCGGTTTAAATCCAACAATGCCGCAAAGTGCTGCAGGCAATCTCACAGATCCTGTGGGGAAAGGAAAGAACAAGAAAACCTTTTTTCAAATCGATTTCTTGAATTGAAACTTGATGAAAAAAAGGAGGTGATACAGAAATATGACCTCCGCCATCGACACCGAGGGCAACTGGGCACAATCCCGCAGCCACGACGGCAGCAGACCCACTTGAAGATCCTCCGCTAATCCTAACTCTGTTGTACGGATTTCTTGTTGCCCTGTTGTGCTCAGACAGAACCACACGTACGGCTTTGTCATATTTTCGGAAGGCAAGATCGGAAACCCGAGTGGTTAACGGCCTTAGTCTTACCCGTAATGAGGATTGATGCCGCTTGTTCCAGCGCCAAGCTCGTGCATATTTGTCTTTCCTACGAGTATGGCTCCACATTGCCTTAGCCGCTCAACGCAACATGCATCCCTACTGCACTGTCTGAATCTTTGCAGCCACTTCGTTCCTCCTAGACCAAACAAGGCAGAGAGAGAGAGAGAGAGAGAGAGAGAGAGAGAGAGAGAGAGAGAGAGAGAGAGAGATATCAGAATTTTCAGACAAGCATCAACTGATGAAGAAGCGTCACTTTCTACAAAGGACAAACCTGTGGTTGGATATGGAAGACAGTCGATCTCGTCTTTGACAGCGACAAGAACTCCATCAAGAACAGAGATTTGCTCTCCTGCAAGAATTATATGCGTTGCTTGAATTGCACCACACTGGTATGAGATTTACGTGCAGATCCAAAACGGAAACCTTTTTTATATCTGAGAGTTGACTCCTTAGCTTGTTTCAGAATGTCGCTCGCATCACAGCTGACGAAGAACGACATTTCCAGATTCGAGCCGTCGGATTCTTTAACGGATGCTATAAACCTCTCGGCAACCTCAACAAAAAGGTTTCAGAAGAGAATTTAGCGGAACCCGAAAGGCGAAAAGGAAACTTTCTGCGAAAGAAATGGTGAGAACGTTACCATCGTAGGAGTTATGTCTCCTGAGGAATAGGCTCTTGCATAGTCAAGTACTGTCCAGTGGCGAAACCCAACTTCTGTCCCTTCCGTTGAGTTTCTTGTGTCCCAAGGCAGGCAATCTACAGCTTCTTTCACTCGTTTTGAAGGGGAAGAATCGTGATCTACGTTTTTCACTTGTTTTTCTTCGAAATCTAAAAAAAAAAAAAAAAAAAGTTCGAGAATAAATAGATACACCTACAAGTTCGGAAATTAATATTACACCAAAATTATAAGTTAAAGAATTTTTAAGGTATTTTTTTTCTTATTATTATTACTGTTACCATGATGAAAGGAGTGAGAAGGAATGAACATGGGTGATTCCTCGAGCCGTGCCTCCGTTACGAACTGCCACGATAACACACCCTTTTAATTCATTAGACTCATCATAAATTTGTGCAATGTGAATATATTAAAAAAACGCATTATGGCGGGATTGGATTTAAGTAAACTATAACCGAAAGATCCAAAACCATATCTCAACAACTTCCTTCCCATATCTGTTTGGGTTTTTTTTTTTTTACCGTAAATCACAAATTGGTAAACGAAAATATCTCATTTATATATACGTTAGGGTAACAACATATAATATAGTAGTAACGAAATCAGAAAATTTAGACGGGACAACTAATTTAACGTGAAAAACTTCTTCGATACAAAAAATAAAAATCATAGAACCGTAATCCATTGAAAAAATTCACTATAAATCTAAAATTTTTGGATTACAACGTCCGAACTACCGTCTCAAATAGACAAGAGATATAATACCAAAATTTTTTAACATCAATCCAATATTCAAACCTCGATAAATTCGAAAGAGCAAGATTTATCTTAGGTAATCAATAATTATGTATCTTATAATTACGGTAACCAAATTCCAATCTCTCCGTAGAAATCAAAATTTTAAAGGGTTATGAATAAGCGTACTACTAAATTACAACTCAAACCAAGAAGAGATGACCGTCCGAATTTTCAGATCACTTGGACATATGCCGTTGGATATAGTTTTTGAGCTTAAATTTTTGTAATGTAATTTTATCATGTTAAGGTAATTTTTAATATGAATTCCCAAGTTTACATTTAATATTAGATGCAAGAGTATATAAATTTATTTGTTAAAATAAAAAATGTATTAAACAAGTAAAATTATATGGATTTTTATATATTTCCTTAATAGATATGAATATTATAAAATTACTTTCTTTTTGAAATATGGGTAGTAGAATTTTTATTTCTTTGATTTTGAGGCTTGGGGTGGGTAATAAGTAGAATTTATTTTTTTTATTATTAATACATTTACCATTACCAAAAAAATTAAGAAAATATGGCAGCTCGGTGGGTTTAACGTATAAGTTTTCGGCATAAAAAAAATTTAGTTAACATAATAAATAAAATTAAGGAGTAATTGTTTCGATTTGTACATTCAACAACAATACGCAACCAAAGCAACTTGTCATTAAGGATCTAATTAAATTCGTTTACTTTTTTTATGACATTATAAAAATATGCGACCTTGGTGTTTCCAAGTAACACACCTATCAATTCACATATTCGTCCGGAATTAGTAGATCTATTTACAATTTTTATGTTATCCTATGGTTTCATTTATTATTTAATTCGTTTATTTCTAAAAAAATAATATTCATTTTGCAACGAAAATTTTATTTCTTTGTTCTTTTCAGTTATTTTTATATCGGGTTCGGATTAGGTTAATTAGGTTTAAAAGAAATATATATCTAATTAGTTTTTTTAAATCTTACCCCAAATGTTATATCGCTACTTATGTGAAAGATAAATATGAAACGGTCCATGAAACTGAAAAAATAAAAATAAGAAGAAGATATTAATACTAATTGATTGCAATTGATTACCTTATTGATGAAGTTTTTCCTCTTAACAAAATATACCAGCAACATACCCAGAACCGGGACCTCCACAAACCAGGCGAAGATCTTCACCAATACACCTGCCATTCTCGGTGCTATATATACACACATATATATATATATATATATATATATTATCAAAATATATAAACTTTTCGAAAGGAATTAATTAATTTTAAAAAAGTTACCATAGATACGTACACTCGAATTACATATATATATATCCGTCCACACACACACACATCCATATATATAATCGAGTTTCCTCAGATATCTTTGTTTTGAGTTATAAAGTGATTGATTCATGGGTTTCTGTTTGTTATAAAACAGTAAAATGCTCGATATATTTCATGTAACAGATGTTTCATGACATTATTTGCCTATTAATTTCATGTTCTTATAGAAGTTTACCATGTCGTGTTCATCCAAAAATCTAATACATAGCAGGAAAAAAAAAAGAAAGCGGAAGATTTACACATCGCTATAGAAAATATTATGGGAGTTTGAAAGATTGCCAACTCAATACGAAAATTAGACTATAAAAATCGGAACAGAAGAAAATAAAAATCCAAGAAGGTTATAATTTATATATATATATATATATATATAAGGGAGAAAGAAAAAAAACAGACAGAGACCTTTAACATCGGGAGAGATGTACATTTGATCGCTGCGACTGTCGAAATCAGCGTCGTCAAGGGGTTTGTACGCAACGCCTTCCACCTTCCACCAACCCATCTTTTTTTTTTTTATCTATTACGATCAAAGCCTACGGGCACTGTCTCAGCCGTTCTTTATACATGATACAACATATACATATATATATATATATATGTATATTATTATATACATGCCCAAAGTCACGTGCGATTTTACGTGGTTACGCTTGTATTGTGTTGAACGCCGTTCAGGACCACTTAGTATAACAAAAAAAAAAAAAAAATAGACCAATGATACAACCGATGGGTTTGAAACTCATTGAATAATTAATGACTGTTGAATTTTTCTACAAGGAATAATGATTAGTCTTATTGAACGAATCAATATATATTGGCAAAAGAAAAATTACAAAATGTATCCATAGTCATTTTTATTCCTCATAATATTTGTATATATGTCTAATACACTCTGTCCAACTTGGGACAAAAATTTCGACAATCATGCGAATCCCTAGTTCTGTCGCTACTGCGTCATATTATGTCGCTATTTTCTGTTGCGATGGGAATTTCGTTGCAACCTCCGTCACATTGAATAGTTTTTCTTGCAGCGAGTAGAGAGGTCTTACCGTAAATGTTAACAAGGGTTTTTCATGAGACCGAAAGCCAGATATCCGTGAGTATCTATATCCGTATGAACAATTAAATTAAATATTCATAAAATTATACACTATTTGATCCAAAAATACATTTAAAGTATAAAAAATTGATATATTTTCGAACGATTATAGATTCATATAAATTTTTTCAAACATATTGATTTTTGAAGTTAAAATTTAGATATTTTGGTAAGTAATTTAAAGAAAATTGGCGGTATTTTGGGGTTTTTTTTGTATATTTGGGATATCCGTGAATAACTCTTACTAATAAAATGAAATTCAAACCCGAATCCCTTGTATGTGTTTTTAATTTCATTACACCCGTCTTCATTTTCGTTTAAAGTCGAATATCTGTTTTCCGGGTACCATACGAAACATGTTGCGGCTTTGGAAAGACGAAAGAAATAAGTTAAAAAAGAATAATCTTTTATAAAGTCTTTGCAAATAAAAAATAAACACTGTGAAATTTTTAAGAAAATAATTTCGCTGAAACTATGCAAAACATTTTGAAAATAAAGAATATAATATCCTATCATCAGTGATATAAATTTATATGACCTTGTGAGTATTTTATCGGGAAAGGGCTTTTTACTCTCCCATGGGAGAAATGACTTTTCAATGTTCCACGAGCATCATTTGCCATTGGCAAATTACTATTTTAGAATAACATTTGTGAAATTACTCTTCTCTCCCTCGTTCTCTTCCATAATAACGAAGGAAACTTTTGAGACGGCGATTCCGAAGCGAAACAAAAAGTCTTGTTTGACCTTTCTTCATCCACATATATACAATTTATTTTTACTTAAAATAAAATATACAATTCTATGGAAAAAAAAAAAAACATTTTGGGTTAAAATCTGAGAAGAAAACACATTAAAATTATAATCTAGTCTCAAGAAATTGGAATCGACGGGATTCACATGTACAGTTTTTCTTATATTTTTGTTCGATTCTATTCATATTTTATATTTATTAAGAAATTTTTTAAAAAAAAAATTATTCAGATTTTTATTATTTTTATATTAAATTGGTATGCTTTGGTTTCATTAGTTTTGTTTTAAAAGTATTAATATATGAAATCTATTTTTAGATCGATTTTAATTGAACTATATATTTATATTCAATTGATCTTTTATGTTCCGAGGGAACTATCTACTCTTAGTTTGAAATTAAATGAAAAAGGAACATCATTAATATATATCCACGTTCATGTATGCTTTTTTAATGTATATTTTTTTTATGTATATATCGGTCTGTTTATTATTTGTAACGCCGAATGACTATTTTATTTTATTTTCTGTAGAATTCGTCACGATTCGTTGCTTGTTTTGTGCATATGATACGATGGAACCGAAGATCGACCAGATTTTTATGGTTCATCTATGCACATTTCGTTTTCGTTATTTAAAAGCAGAATACTTCTTTTTTTTAAAAAAAAAAAAGAAAAATTCCAAAAAAAAATACTAAACTTTTTAAAATTGACAAAACAAAACATAAATTTAAAAAAAACACTAAACTTTTTAAATTGTCCAAAATAATATATAAACTATTCGACGAGTGTTAAATTAAACAAATATACGAAAGTGCTTACGTGACGAATGAAAGTTTAAACTTGGCCTGATATTTTTTTTTAAACCATGTCTTAATTTGAAACTCATAGAATAGTTAAAGTTGGACAATTTAAAAAGTTTAGTATTTTTCTATAAAAAAAAATTAGATACTTTTTTTTTTTATCAAAATTCAAATGTTGAGAATTCTTTTTTTATTTTTCCAAAAAAAAAGGAAATTTTGGAGTGATACAAATATATGAACTTGTGTATATACTACACGTATAACAGATTGAATTGAGTTCTCCAACCCAACCCAACCCACAATACATTAGACTCAATCCATACTAAAACACAACTATATATGGACTATATTGAATTGGAGTGAAAATGCGTGAAGTTGGACCGACCATATTGGCATACAACTAACTAAATCTACGTGGATTATTACAAGCTTTTGATAAATTAATAGAGTATCCTTTTACGTGTTTTTATTCATTACTGCAGTGTTCCGTGCGAGTTGCATCTGAACATATTTGTTTCAAGGTGAGCTCACGTGTCTCAAGAAGCTGGGCATGCGTAAGCAACAAGAGGGAACTTGCGGGAAACTACAAGCCCTCTTGATTCGGCCAGATCGTATTGGTCTCCTTCCGGTTTGGACACAGTTCTCCAATTGAACCGGTTTACGACATTGGCTAATACCAACTGGGCGATCACCAAGGCAAACCCCACTCCCGGGCATAACCTTCTCCCTGCTCCAAAGGGTATGAACTTGGCATCTTGTCCGCGGAAGTCAACCGATGAACCCAAATGCCTCTCGGGCTTGAATTCTTCGGCATCTTGTCCCCATGTTGCAGTCTCCCGCCCGATTGCCCAGAAGTTTATCAATACCTTTTTCTCAGAGAAAATTGAATCTATGTTAGCAAAGATAACGCATGTGATTGTAATACTTTTCAGAAGCATACTGAGTCTAAATGGAAAATCATCGAGTTGAGTAAATCTCTAAAGGCATGAGACAAAGAGAACAATTCTTTGTAGAGGAGCAAGCACTTAGACCACTAGGCTACAGGGTCTTGGGTAGGGGTGTCAAAGAGGTCGGTCCAAACCCACACCCAATCCGAGGGTATTGGGTTCCCCGAATTTTTTGGAGTCCTAAAAACCGAGCGCAAAGCCTGGTCCTATAAGACTCTGGCTCAAACTCAGGTCGGATCGACCGTTCAATTAGGTTTTTTTTTCTTCTTTCGTTTGAATCATTTTTTTCAATATTTTCTTAAATATTTTCTTAAATAGGGTTACAGACAGATCCTAAACCCTATTTGAATCTGATCCGAGATTCGACTTTTTTCAAGCTTACAATTTCAAGCCCGAGTCCGATCTTTTTTCAGACGGGTTTGGTTTGATTTTAGATCTCGAGCCAAAATTGACACCCTAGTTTTGGGAAAGAAACATCTAACACCATGTTAGATTTAGGGTTTGGATATCGTATGATAACATCTTATACGTATACGTAACTATAGGGGTACTATATTGTAAATATACAAAATAATTTACATCAAAACGTTCTGGAATAAAAATTATTCCAGAGTAGCTATATATGTTAAAGTTTGATAAAAAAAAATGTTTGAAGCAACATTAGAAATTTACCTGTGTACCGGCTGCTATGTCATATCCCTTCAGTTTAACATCTTCAATACACTGTCTTGGAACCAACAAGGGAGCCGAAGGATGTAACCTTAGAGTCTCTTTGATCACAGCTTCCAAATATTTCATATTCCTAACATCTTCTTCCGTTACATATGATTTATCGCTCGAGATTGTACGAATCTCGTCCCGTAGCGTTTCCATACACTCTGGATGCCTCAGGAGCTCCGTCATCGACCATTCCATGAGTGCTTCAGTTGTGTCCGTTGCCGCGATGAAGATATCCTGAAAGGAAGTGTTGGAGCCCCGCATCAACCATATGTGGGGACAATTGAGTCGTTATAAGGCAATGGACACCATCTCCCGACAAGTTAGCTTTCGGGATGAGTTATAGGTGTATTTTATGAGAAAGCAATTACAGTTCAAATATTATCTTTATAAGCATTTGTTTGTACTAAGATTGGTGAATGTTAATATCAATTTTCACCTCAAATCATAATAACGGTACGTATAGATCGGTTTCTCTTACCGCGAGAAGGAGTTTAAGACTAACGTCGTCAATCTCGAACCCGACTGAATTCTCTCTTTGAATGGAGAGCAACACATCGACGAAGTCCACTATCTGTTTATCCCTTTTGTCCGAATGCTCCTGAATCACTTTTTCTAGGAATTCGTCGAACTCCTCTATAATTCCTGTTATTTCGCCGGCCACGCCACGAAGTGTGTCTATCCATCCCAATGCGGGAAAATAATCCTCGATGTAAAGCCGGCCGAAAAGGCTTACCAACTTTCTCGATAGCTCGCGAACATTCGCCCTGCCTGCCCCGCCGCTGTATTTCCCTCCCAACGCGACTCTACATATCACGTCGCTCGTAAGAGTCACGAAGGTCTCGCTCAGGTTCACCGCCGAAGAAGATGAACATGTCCTCTCGATCTTCTCCATCGTCAACCTTATCTCTTCTTCTCTCACGTTTCGGAAGGAGCTAACCATTTTGTTGCTGAGGAGATGCAGAACGTAGACACTCTTTTTACCAAACAAAAGAAACTGTATCAGTTTTTAGGGGAAAAGGGAATGGTTACTTTTAACCATTGATGAATAAAGTTGGGGACACGTTTAAATTGTTATGAACAAAGTTATCTCATACTTTTCATAAGGATTTCAGCACAAGTAGGGGTGGTCACTTTTTTTTTTTTTTGGTTATTAACCGAGTAGCCAAACCTTATCGAATAAGGTATAACCGTAATCGAACAGAATCCGATATAAAAATCGAACAGTTATGACTTCTCTAAACCCAAAAAATCGAAACTGAATCGAATAAAAAAATAACCAAAATTGCAAAAATGAGTTTTTTACCGATAAAAAATCGAAAATCTGAACGATCCAAATCAAAATTGATATAAAAACTGACCGAAAAAATTTAATCCAAATATAACCAAATTAAATCCAAAACGAAACACAAAATGGTCACATTTAAGCATTTGTTTCTAACTTTTACACTTTTTGTTTATAACTTTTACTAGGTTTTCTAACCTTTCCATCTTTGAGCTTTCTGCTGCATCTCAAACTATCTTTAGTTATAAGAAAATTCTCATATTAATACACGAATTTGAAAAAAAAAATCTCAAATAAATATACAAACTCTTAAAAAAATTTTTTAAAAAAAAATATACGAACTTTTTCTTAATTACTGCATTAAACTTGAACTTTAAAATAATTCTCAAAGACCACCATGGTGATATTTCGGAGTAGTTTAAAAGTTTAGAGCTTAATTTCATGCCAGTATTTTGGAATCATTTAAAAATTCATTATTTATTTTCATTGTTTTTTTTATAAAATATATTGGATTTAATACAGGAGTTAAGTAGAGGTCATGTATTTATTGAAAATTTTCATGTATTTATTTGCGTATCAAAATATTTTTTATTATCTATTGTTTCATGCACCGATTTTTAGATAATATAAGGTTTTCAAACCAACTAATCCAAACCCGACATGTGGTATAATTAACCTTGAAAACTAAATCACTCAAAACGTTATGGTATTTGACTGAGAAATAAAAAACAAAATGATTTTTTTTTATGCACAAGAAAATTCTTTCTAGTACCTTCATCTGTCTCCAATATTCGCCATAGGGCGCGAAGACCATGTCTTGGCCACCGCACATTAGCTTCGAGATAAAGTTCGAACTAGGGCGGCTTGAGAACGCACGATCCTGCGTTTTCACGATGTCATGGACCACGTCGGCCGAGGACACGACGACGATAGGAACCCTTGCCAAGCGGAGGAGCATCACCGGTCCATACCGTTCACTAAGCGATTTAAGCGAGCGGTGAGGATGTAATCCGAAATCGAGGAGGTTTCCTATCACGGGCAGTCCCGGAGGAGACGGAGGCGGGTTCGCGATCTTCTTCTCGGAAGCTAAAGACTTCCGTTTGGGAAGAAACTTTAGGAAGAGGATGGCTAACAAGGTGAGGCATAACAAGGTGAATGCCGCTTCCATGTCTTGGTTTCAGGAAATCACCTAAGGCATGTAAAGTTCTTTTTTTTGTGCTATGATTTTATAGTACCACTTAACCTAATCTGTGTATACGCGTGATTTGATGAGAAACACCAGAAGTCAAAAGGTTTAATTTATTGCATTGTATTGTGAAACATGCAACACACACGTAAGGTTCGTTTCTTTTTTAGTTATCATGAGTTATGGTTTTTCCAATCATAATGGTCAAAATGAGCCAGCTGCAAGGGCTGTATCATATTTTGTGATGCATATTATTCATGTTTAAATGATAATGTTATAATGATGAAATATTTATTGATTGAAAAATAGTTGTATCACCCAAAATTTCGATAGTTCAACCGGTGAAACGGAGACATTTAGTGTCTATCTCGCCCCTAATTCGAACCTCGAGTTTGGAGAGGGACATTTACACGATTTCTTTGGGTTTCGTCTAAAGATACCCAATTACAAAAAAAAAAAAATAGTTGTATCCCTATATATTCAAGTTCCTCGTAGGAAAGATGGATCTAATATAATATTCAGACAAAATGTTTTATTTCGTTTTCTACGTAGTCTTATAAGCCTAAACAACTTGTTAAGAAACTTTTAAAATTTCTAGAGCAATTGTACCCAATTCTTTTTCATTCGTTATAAATTTTATAAATTTTAGATACAAATTGTTAAATACTCCCATAATAAAATTTAAATTTGCTCTTTAAAATTATAAGTTTCTATAGGGAGTATTTGCGTGCTAATTTACAGAAATATATACATTTTATAAGTGTATAGAAAACCCTAGTTACAATAAATTGCATATCTTTATAACTTCTTGTAGTTTTTGGTTGTACTATGTTCATATGTTGATTTGCAAGCCAAATCGTTGAAGAATTCTAGTAATAAAATGGGAATGTAAAGCTGCTAGAAACGACAAAAACATAGACATTTTTATTTCTTGACGTGAATTTATATAAAAAAAATAGACATTTTTTTTAACCAATGCACGGATTCAATTTGTATGCATGTATCAATAATTATTGAATGTAGATTCAAGATTGAATGGATGGAGGTTGCGACGAAAATGTTAATGATATGATAAAAGCGGGATGGATGAAACAGAGATAAGTCACGGGGGTTTTTGCGCTCGCAAAGTTCCTATACAGTTGAAAGGTAAACTCTATCGCCATAAGATCCGTATTGATATAAGGTAGTGAGTGTTGGACGGCAAAAGGGTAACATATGTCCAAAATGTGTATGACCGAGATGAAAATGCTGCGATGAATGTGCGGACATACATGAATAGACCAAATTCGAAATAAGAGTATTAGGTTCAATAAACTTCCATATTATTAAAAAAAAATATTGAATCATACCAAGAATAAATGTTGAAACTAGAGTTTTCGAAAATTATTTAATACACCATATAAAAATGTCAACTCTAGTTGTTTACTAGTGTTAGGTTAGAGCATGGATGGTTAATTTAAGATGTGTTTTTGTCATGTCTTAATTCAACATAAAAGTCCATAATATCATCATTAAACAATACGTGTCTCGAGACTTCCTAAGTCGTAATAAAGAAGATTAATTCATTGTTTTGCCACCGAAACCATTAGTTGTTCTTATGTAACCGGTTACCGTCTTAGAATTTTCGATTGTTTTCACGTAATTAATTCATCTACTTATATTTTTTTTAAAAAAAATTTCTGAAAATTTCTGAATTTGTAATTTGATGTAATATTAATTTCTGATCTTGTAGGTGCATCTATTTATTCCCGAACTTGCATGTTTGAATACAACAATTCTTAAACTTGCATTTTTGGACACAATAATTCCTAAATTTACATTTTTTAATACATTAATTCCTAAACTTTGCTTTGATGAATTAGTGGTATAGATTATTATGGAACTGATAAGCAAGTTTAAGAATTACTGTGTTAAAAAATGCAAATTCGTAAATAAATACGTGTACCTATAAGTTCAGAAATTAATATTACACTAAATTACAAGTTCAGAAATTTTCACATATTTTTTTTATCACACAATGAACATGTTAAAATCGCTAATGCTTCCATGAATTCTTAGACCTAATTGAAAGGCTCCATCCGATATTCGATTATCAACACGATTCATTTATCCCCAATTTGGGTAATTGATCAATCGATGAAACGAGGTGCGAATCATCTGTTCCGTCCGGAGTTTCAACCAAAATTTATCGCTCCCTTGAATTAGTTTGAACTTATAGTTCAGAAGTAGATATTTTCATGAAAGTTCACTTGGTGAAAATAGTTGGTAGACATTTTCATAAAGGTTAAAATGACATTATAAGCAAACTGTTGGTATTTGGGTCTTAGCCCAACCCATTTCCTTTCTAAGCCCCTAAATCCACTTCAAACCCTAAACCCTAATTTCCTCACACCCAACCCTCGAATTAATATACAAAATTTAAAATGGTAAATTCCATGAAAAACCTTCAACTCGAGAAATGAAACCTTGAATTTGTATTTCGGGAATTCCATCGCGTGTTTCGTGCTTCACTCTCCTCTCCTCTCCTCTCCCTCTCTCTCTCGTTTCGTCGGTGATTTGTTAATCTTTCGGTATGTGATTTTACTTTGAGATTTGGTTCTAATATGATTTTAGTTCGAGATTTCTGTCGATTCTTGTTTGATTTTGAGGTTTCTCTTGTTACGGGTTCTTCTCGGTCGATAGTCCTTCTACGAACCAAATTGCTCTGTTTCCATCGTTCAGTGTATGCATTTTAATCCTTGTGCTTCTATGGCAGACCAGCGATACGGATAAATCCCTAGAACCCTACCACACTGTCGTCTTGTCTGAGGAGGGGAGGGAGGGGGAACATGATTTTCCTTCTCCGAAATGGCTCCAAACTCTTAAACCCTGGGAGAAAACTTCAGACAACAATCTTCATTTCAATTCCTTTCAGTCTCGCAAAATCCTTCTCTCAATCCACCTCCATACCCAAGAAGCAAGATCGAGTTCGCGACCATGGATTCGATAACTACATGGAAGTCGAAAAGAAGATCCGCAAAGTCGTGAAGTTTCAAAACCTCATTAACTCTCAGCCAAACCAGACCATCCCGATTTCTCTTCTCGACACACTCGCTCGCCGACTCGATCTAGGGTTCAAACAGCACGAACCCGGTGCTTTTCTCCTCAAATTCCCTCATGTTTTCGAAATCTACGAGCACCCAGTTCAGAGAATCCTCTATTGTCGTCTGACCCGGATGGCTTTGGATCAGATCCAGCAGGAGAAGAACGCTGTTATGGCCCAGATATCCGACGCCGTTTTCCGGCTCAGGAAGCTCATCACGATGTCAAACACTGGTCGTATCCGATTGGAACATGTCCGAATCGCGAGGAAGGAATTCGGGTTGCCTGATGATTTCGAGTATTCGGTAATTCTGAATCACCCTCACTTTTTCAGGCTAATTGATGCTGAAGAGACCCGAAATAAGTACATTGAGATTGTAGAGAAGAACCCTAGATTAGCTGTTTGTGACATAGAGAGAGTTAGAGAGAGAGAGTACAGGGAAAAGGGAATGGATGCTGAGGATGTTAGATTCGCCTTCATCGTGAATTTTCCTCCCGGGTTTAAGATTGGCAAGTATTACCGTATTGCTGTGTGGAAATGGCAGCGGCTTCCTTACTGGTCTCCGTATGAGGACATTTCCGGGTACGATCTAAGGTCCATCGAAGCACAGAAGAGACTAGAGAAGAGGGCTGTGGCCGTCATTCACGAAGTGCTGTCTTTGACGGTGGAGAAGAAGATGACACTGGAGAGGATTGCCCACTTTAGGAATGTGTTTAATTTGCCTAAGAAACTGAAGGAGTTTCTTCTGCAGCACCAAGGGATATTTTACATCTCGACCAGGGGAAATCTCGGGAAACTTCATACAGTGTTTCTCCGTGAGGCATATAAGAGAGGGGAGTTGATAGAACCCAACAATGTGTATTTGGCTCGGAAGAGATTGGCCGAGCTTGTGTTACTGAGCCCTAGAAAGGCAAAGGTCGATGCAGAGTTGGTTAGTTATAGAACTCCAATGGACGATGGAGAAGAAACCGAATGACAGAACTGGGTTTTGTTGATATCATCAGTCCGTGGCCATGCCTTGTTGCTCTGTGTTGCATAGCATGCTATACTGCTTAGCTATTTTCAAGAGTTTGATGGAGTGGAGGCTTGAGGATTGGAGCCATTTCCAGGTAAATATTTACGCGACTTTGTGAGTTAAAACGTGTCATTGATTGTCTGGATGTTTTTTGCAACAAAAGTGATCGCGTTTCATCAAAGAACCTATTGTGTCCTCATCATCTAGGAGCTGAGAAAACCTTTGGATTGAACTGGAGGATCTTAATCTTCATGGAATCAGACCTGTGTACGGTACATCAGCACAAACATTTTCAAAATTGTGAGAAGGTGGGTCTTCTAAATCGTAATTGCGAATGCAGCTGCTGCAGGCATGGATTGCTATTACTTTACTGAGAGCCTTGGACAAAGATGTGAAGATGATGATCTAATGTCGGGAAAAACAAAGACGAGGAAGATAACTTGTCAATGTATCAAACAAAGATGTGAAGAAAAAGACCAATCTTTGTAATAATTAAAAAAAAAAACCATTTAGTAAATTTCTGGACCGTTTATTCTCAAACACTCGCTTCTCTGTCGTTTTCTTTCCTCCACAAAGGCTTCGAGTCATTGACCCAATAATATAGTTCTTATCATTATTACTACCATTTAATACATCGTGAGACGAAGAAAAAAGAAACGAAGAGAATGAAAGTGGGGGTGTTGGAAGTATTGTTAATGGCGTCCTCGGTGTTGCGACTCTCGTCGGCAGCTGATTTCAGACGGCGGAAAACGGCGACGTTCGGCGGATTTTCCAGCAGAGCTTCCTCCTCTATCGTGTTCCCAGTTCACGGGAACGTTTATCCTGTCGGGTAACTTCAAAACTCTGTCCGAGTTCAGACAAGAAACAAAACACAAAAAATATCTTCCTCTGCTTGTTTCCCGGTTCTGATTTCTCTATAATGGGTGTCTTTTTTGTGTTGGGTTGAGATAGGTACTACAATGTTACCATCAACATCGGACAGCCATCGAGGCCGTACTATTTGGATCTTGATACAGGTAGTGATCTCACATGGCTCCAATGTGATGCTCCTTGTGTACGTTGCGTTGAGGTAAAATTCCATTCCAAAATCTCTCTTTTAGTTACACAGTAGGCGGAATTCTCAGAAATTAGACATAGTTATGCCTTGAATTCATCTTAAATTCCCATCTTTTCTTAGATTTCGAGAAATTTCCGGAATGTTCACTTGGCTTTGGCTTCTCCTATGTTTTGATACTCTTTGTAACCAAAGGATCCGTTTTTCCACTGTGCTTGACGAGATTATTGTCTGAAGGGAAACATGTTTGTTTAAATGGGTTTTTGTCTTTCAGGCACCTCATCCACTTTACGAGCCCAGCAGTGATCTTATCACCTGCAACGATCCTCTCTGTAAGGCGTTGCATTCTAATGGCGACCGTATATACGAGAAGCCGGAGCAGTGTGACTATGAGGTTGAGTATGCTGATGGCGGGTCATCTCAAGGAGTTCTTGTTAGAGATGTCTTCTCCTTAAACTACAAGAACGGAGCCCGGCTCAACCCCCGTCTCGCCCTCGGGTTTCCACTTCTCGAATCTCAAATCTTTTCCAGATTCTGCATTTTTCATTTCAATTCTCAGAATTGTAATTCATTGCCAGCATATAGTATCGTCTCAATAACAATCTTTAAGGATGTCCTAACTAACAGAGTTTCTGAAACATATGTAACAGATGCGGTTACGATCAAATTCCCGGCGCATCAAGTCGCCATCCTCTTGATGGAGTCCTCGGTCTAGGGAGGGGAAAGGTTAGCATCTTGTCACAGCTTCACAGCCAAGGCTACGTGAGGAATGTTATCGGCCATTGCTTAAGCAGTCTTGGTGGAGGATTTCTCTTCTTCGGAAACGATCTTTACGATTCCTCGAGGGTCTCTTGGACACCAATGTCAAGCGATCACTCGTAATTAGCCCTTCCCTCTCATATCTGTCCGGTTCAAGAATGTCAACTTATACCACTGACCATTTCTGTTTACTCTGAGCTACAACTTGACAACTCTGTTCACCGATTGTCAGAAAACATTACTCTCCGGCTCCGGGGGGCGAACTTCTTTTCGGTGGTAAAACCACCGGGCTGAAGAATTTGCTTGTAGCTTTCGACAGTGGCAGCTCTTACACATATTTCAATTCGAAGGCCTACCATGCCGTCACAAACTTGGTGAGTGTTTCCGAGAAACCTCTACTTACATTCTGATATGATCCGATTTTAAAGATTTCACAAATATCGACTGAACTTTAGCTTGTGTACCCTCTAAAGAAAAGTAGCATTCTTGATCTAGATTTAGTCCATCATCGCATTTCTTGTCACATTAGCAAATCGAATAAAGAAAAAGGTTCAAGGGTTTTCGAAATCTTTTGTCTTTGGATTTGTAGCTGAAGAGAGAACTAAGTGGGAAACCATTGAAAGAAGCACGGGACGATAGTACGCTCCCTCTATGCTGGCAAGGCCGTAGACCCTTCTTGAACGTGGACGAAGCCAAGAAATACTTCAGGCCCCTATCTGTCAGTTTCAAAACCGGCTGGAGATCCAAATCTCTCTATGAGATACCCCCAGAAGCCTATCTGATCATCTCTGTAAGCGCTCTCAATATATATGTAATCCAAATTCTTTTGGTATATCACCGAAAATCATCGGCTTTGAAATGAAAAAAAACACCCATTTGAACGTCTTCAGACGGAGGGAAACGTGTGCTTGGGAATCTTGAATGGCACAGAAATAGGCCTCGAGAACGTAAATCTCATCGGAGGTGAAGTATTTTCAGTTCATGATCCAACCAATGTGTCTGAATTTGGAAATTCCATGTAAATACCGATCCCGTTCTTGGCAGATATATCGATGCAAGATCAGATGGTGATCTACGACAACGAGAAGCATGCCATCGGGTGGATGCCCTCCTCTGACTGCAGCGAGATCGCGTCGCTAAAAGTTCCAGAAGGTTATGCATATTATACATAAAATCTCCGTAGATTGTAAGCTGACAGAGAAGGTAGAATGTACATTTTCACAACATGAATTAAGAAATGCTCTCTGCTATCCGATTTATTACTTCACTTTGGTGAAACTTCAAGCATTTAGAAATCCTCTAAGGTAGTTAGATTTTGGTTTTGATACGAAGATATCAAGAATATGAGTGATTTTGTATAGTGAATTCAAGATTCATGTACCTTATCTATTTTTTTTCATAATATAATAACAGTTGTACGAATTATACCTATATCAGATGGTTCGACCGATAAAAGATGGGGTAAAGTTCATTCCCAATCCAAGTTTGAATTTTCATTTGGTAAGAAACATTTACATGGGTTTCTTCGTTCCTTTAATATGTAATTGGGTGGAAGATCTGGTCAAAACTTACGTGTTTGCTCCCAAACGAAGATTTGAATCTGTGTTGGAAAGGAGTTTTCTCCTATCTTTTATCAATTGAGCCACTTTATTTTTAGTATAGTTAACACATTTTTACCTAATTAAATTGATGATATATAGGTAGAAAAAAGGTTATATTCGGTTACGGTTTATTCGAGTTCGATTTATTCGTTTTACAGTTATTTCGGGTTCGGTTATTTCGGATTTGAAATATTCATATCCAATATGATATATTATTTTAATCGGTTCGATTCGATTCGGCTATATATTGATTGGATTAGATTCAGATAGATTTTTTACCGTATTTTTTTTTGCGTTTGCATCTAGAGTCTTATGTATTAGAATTTATAAAATACATATATATTTCGGTGAATAAATATAAGTTTAGGGTTTGTTTGGTAATAAAAAAAGTATAGAATTTTTTTTATCTTATGTTTGAAGAGTACATGTATATTTCGACGAATAAGTATAACAATGGATTTTTTTCTATATAATACAAGACTTTTTGTCGACTTTTGAATAGTATATAATTTTTTTTATGATTTTTCTTAAATTAAAAGATACGATGAATATCTTCGAAAAATATAAATATAAAGAATATTTTAGAATATTATCTTAAATTTAGATTTGATATTATTTCTGGATTTTATATATTTATATTGATTAAATAATATATTATGTAATTATATTTTTACCTATAAATATTGTAATATTTTATGTTAAATATTGAAAAATTAAACGATTCTCAACTCATTTCACTATTATTAGATTCAGTTCGATTTTGTATATTCAAACATAATGTTCAGTATTAGATAGTGATGTAAAACGAGTTGGGTTGAATCGGACCGAACCGGTTCATCAAGAGTCAGCCCATTTTTAGCTCATATCGTTTGATCCGGTTTTTTATGAGTTAGAAAAATTCTGACCCATACCAAATTATCCGTGGTATAAACCAACTCATATTTATTTAATTATTCAAAAAATCTTTTAAAATTAAATAAAAATTAATAATTTGAAATTTTTAATATAGATGTTTAACATAACAATCCATAAATCTATATTTAAATAAAAAAAATTAACAAAAAATATGATTTCGTGTCACCAAACCAACATAAAAAAGTAATATATACCAACCAACATCAAAAATCAAAATATGACAAAAAAACATATATCAACACTAACATATAATGAATTCTAATTTTTATTTGCATTTGCATTTTCAATTCCTACACCAAAAAGATATTTTTTATACCATCAAACGAGCCGATCGAACTGGATTGGTTGGACTCACACTCACAGCGAAATGAATCGTTCAGTCCATTTTTATTTGGCCTTTTATTTTTTCAATTCGACTCGTTTGCCGAGCCTGGTTCAGAAACCTAGCTCATTTTGACATCACTGGTACATGATACTATTTTGTTTGCTTTTCCTTATCACAAAATGGTAATTTAACATTTGTTTCAACTCCTCATCCATAATAATTTCTACATCGAAATGTAACACTGTGAATTTCCAAGTCGGACAAACATCGGAACACAAACATTACATCGGTGGCACTATGCCTTTGTTAAGACAACCCGCTACGAGTCGGCTATGTCGTGTTCACAAGGAACCGAACTAAAAGCTTGTTCTTAAACAATCATTCATGCACAGATCATGAGGCGATTAATTAGTAGACGCTAACTCACAAATATGAGTTTCATGAGTGTGAATGTAAGGAACAATCTTCTGCTGTCTTGTACGAAAATTCGCTCGGCTATTCCCTTCGAAACCCCTTTTCTTTTCTCATCCAAGCCTCGGTTATTAGCATTGAGGCTTCGGAAACTTGTTACTTGGACGGACGCGTTTCCAGAGATGTTCTTTGCCTGTGAAAAGAACAATCGGAGAATCGTTATAGTAAAAGGGCGAGAGCTTCTGTTCATCTCGACATCGAGAAACGCAGTTACAAACAATATATCTATCTATGTGTATGTGTATGTCTATATATACATATGTATACGCGTATGTGTGTATATTCAGGAAGGGTGGAACTAACCTTGGGGAGGAGGAATTTGCATAGCCAGTGAACACATTGGAGTATGACTTCGTCAAATAAGTGAAATTCAGAATTGGGGGCAAAGGCTGCAAACGGTCGCCTTTCTTCAAAAGCTCTTGCAGGTCAAGTCTTTGCAATGTCAAGACAGCTCTAGATTCCTTCCAAATGAACGCGAGAAGGCCGTTGTCAGTCACGAAAAGGGTACCGGGTTTCGCACCGGGATATCTGAAACCATACCCATTTGCAATACCCTCTCCCGAGAAAGCATGCTCGACAATAACCGGAAGAGAATCTCCATCAATGTCCCAAGGAAATGGCTCGGGTGAAGGCATGTCGATATTCACTATGAACATGGCCGATCCATTAGGATGCAATACATAATGAGTGCCTTCCAGTATCTTTGTCGCAATGAGAAGCCTCTCCCCTTGGGATTCTTCGTAAGAGAGTAGAAGTAAGAAAAGAGCTTTGCCTGGTTTGTCTTCCGAGGGTTTTCCCGGAGGCCAACCAAAGGTTCCTCCCCACAAACCGGCATATTCTTGGTCGTCTCTTGGAAGCCTAATCGGTAGTTTATAAAGTGCAAATCGGCTGTCATGCATGTTAGGCCAAGCCCGATAAGAAGAAAGCTTGGTAGTGGACGCCTCTAGACTGAGACCTACTGATTCGCCGGAGCTAAGAAAGTCATGGAGGTTTGCATACCTAATCTCGCTGCTCGAAGATGTATTCTTTGAAGTCCCATGGCCATGATTGCCATTACTCGAAGTCGACTTCCCGAGAATATTCTTGATGCTATTTCTGAAATACCCACTAAAGCTTTTCCTACCCGTGCTCTGTACCAGACTCTCGTCATTGCTGTTGTGGGACCTGGGAAAACCTCCGCCATTATCGAAATCCTTCCGTATCACATTTCCATATACCTGTGTAGGATCGTAATGCAATTCATCCTCCAAGTTCATGATGTTCCAACTGCCACCAAACTTCTGCATTTTAAGGAGCGCGGATCTGCGTTCCAACAACATCAGTTTATCTCTCTGAAAATTTTCGACATCGTCTCTCGACCTAGGAAACAACGGCCCGCTTAATGAATCGGGTACAAGTAATCCCACATGGCTGGTGACTCTTTCGAGCAACTTTCTCCTATCACTAAAAGCTAGCTTGCTAAACGGAACCCGAGAGTCGTTCTTTCCAAATGCTGCCCTCTGAGATCTAGACAGCACGCTATCTGACCTACAAACCTTTCCTGAGGCTTCTCTTTCGGAATGAGGAGCACAAGATTTACAGTGTAACAACTGATCCCAATCCCTTTGTCGCTTCGGCTCAACCTCAAGCAAAAGTATATTGCAGTTCTTCTCAATGGCTTTAATAGAACCGGGATACAAGCAACAACGTTCGTTTTCTCTCCCGTGAAGGAAAAAACCGGTTGAACCATCAAAACCGCTTATAATTTCGAAGACGGGTGCCCAAAGAATGGGGCCTTCATGAATCCCCAATGGTCCGACCTCCTGCGGAATTATCCGACACCCGACAACAGACAGAAAACCAGGCATCACATAAACCACATTCCCCAGTTCAGGATTTTGGTGAACCCAAATGCCAATCAAAGGCTTCACCTTGACAAGAAATCGACAAAGGGATTTGTAGGAGGAGATACCAATCCCCCAGTCGACAACTTCACGCAGAGACAGAACTCCTACGGCTTCACATTGTGAAAGCCAAATCTTGTCGGAGGCCACAAGGGCACAGAGGCTTTTGCAACACAAGCTGAGATTACAAATGTCCCTCGGCGAAAGAGAGCGGGAGATGATAGCAAATACATCGTCATGAAGTGAGAGAAGCAAGCTAGGAGGGGCACATGACGATTCAGACGAAACATCACCAACCTTCATGTATCGCTAACTCGATTCACTGAAAAATCTCTGAGGCTAAACCAGAAAGAAGCTTCACGAATGTGTAATTCCACACAAATTTTAATGGGTATCGACAAAATTCGTGTTACCGACAACAATCGGGATTAAATTGGAAGCAAATTCCGACAGACCCTGTCCTCAAAATCGATGAAGCACAAGCTTACCGGATTTAGGCAACGAAGATCGAACCAAAACCTGGGGCTCTCCGGCTGAATGGCCAAATTCAATTCCGGGTTTGCCTCAGATCGAACCCTTTCCTCACAGCTCAACAACATGAAATGGAGAACACGAGAAATGGGTTTCCTTCAAGACAACAAAATTGAAGTGGATCGGCTTCAGATTCCAATACAAGAGAAGGAAAAAGCAAGAATGAATTTTCAAAGTATGAGAGAAGGAGAAACACCACGAGATATAGAGAGAGGGGGAGGAGGGCAATAATGGGCGTGGAATAAGGACCGAGAAATGATAATGTCAAAATCAGCACCAGGGAAGTGAATCAAAAAGCGAATAGCGAATAGCGAATAGAACTCTCTCTCTCTCTCTCTCTCTCTCTCTCTCTCTCTCTCTCTCTCCCCCCACTGCCCACTGGGAAACGATGGTTGACGGGAGAGCGAGAACACGATGACTGACTGAACTCTTGAAAATTCTGATAATTATTTTATTGGGTTTTTTTTTTCTACGTGTCTGAACCATTTCTCGTTTTATATACGTTACCCTTTCCGGTTGTTTTCTTTTCTTTTTCTCTAGTAAAAATTCTTTTTTGGATGTTTACTTCAGAAAAAAATTATTACTTTTTTTTTCTGGACAAAGAGAACAACGAAAAGCCTTGAAACAAATGACAAATTTTTGTTTTGAATTTCCATAAAACAATTGTTTTTTAGAATACCTATTCAATTGATTTTTTTTAATTTGAAAATACACTATATTTCGAATCTAAATTGAGAAATAATTTTATTTTCTTTTTTTTTTATCATTAAAACTATTTAATCTTAGATTCGGTTAAATTTAATAAAGGCAACAAATAATAACTAGGTTGCTGACATTTTAGTAATAAGTATTATTATACAAGGCTTTCCCTTTAAACCGGTTTAGATCAACTTAATCGGTTCCGTTTAAAGGGCGGAACTTGTATAAAATTTTGTATCCCATTTGGATCTATACAAATATCGGGAAAAAAAAATCCAATCTATTTTAAACTCTTCTAAATTTAATACTATAAAAAAATAGCTTATCATCCTATAAAAATATTTCGATTTCAACTATTTCTATTTCTAATTCGAACTATTAAATATTTATAAAATCATTATTTTATTTGTTATTCTTAACATCATAAATCCTTACATATGATTTAAGAAGTATAATTCTAACAAGAAAAAACTTGTAAATTACATAAAAAGTTGTAAATTAAGAAATATATATATATTAATTTAATATCTACTTAAAAATATAGGTTATTTAGTTTATTCGAGATGTAGGTGGCATTATTAATAGGATTTTCTGTCTATAATTTAGGTTATTAAGTATGAATCGAGCGATAATTATTACTTAAATATCCTTAACGAATATTGTTATTTTTAAAAAGTAATTCATATGATGATGCGATACGATATTTACAATAGTATATCTTATTTCATCAATTATAAATTGACACGAGTTGGAGACTCCGAGCAATACAATAAAGTCGTAAAATGAATGAGGCCGTGTAAGAAGAAGACTCCCGACGAGTTTCACCGTTGGATTCCCTCCATTTAATCGTAACCGTCCAATCCATGAAAAATCAACGCCTTCGATCGAATTATATCTTTCTTTGTTTTTCTTTTTCAGTGAAAAAAAAAAGCATTTACTTTCAAATAATTATTTAAATTGTTAATTATTTCTTTTAAAGTTTTTCTTGTGCAAGATGATGAGTTACGATGACATGACTGAAAAAAATCGTGTTAGAATAGTTACATAGGAAAATAAAATTCTTATATAAATACACCAATTAATTAAAATGAGCACCCTTGACGTGATAGTCAATCATAAATTTTAAAATAAAAACTTAAAATCAAAACCATATCAACGTCATATAATAAAAATATCATATAATAAAAAAAATACAACAAACACGTATATAAATACACACACACATATATATATATATATATCATATACATGCTTATAGACATATATACATCTATACACATATACATATATATTTATACACAAATATAAAGACAAATACCATATAAACATTTATATACATATATATACACCTATGCACATACACATTTCTACGCACATAAATACATATATACATATTGATACACATTTATGCACATACATTTATACACATGCATATATGCACATACACATGTGTATTATAGATATATATATACATATACTTTTATATATGTAATGTACACGTTTATACCATACACCCGTAAATGTGTGTGCGTATAAATATACATATATAGGTATAAGTATATGTGTATATATGAATAGACAACCATATCATAACATCATGTCATCTAACACTGTTATGTTCATAAAAAATGAAAAAGAGCAAAATTTTGCATATACATATATATATACAATTTGCATCGGCTTGACCATGAAATCAAACATGGCCTTTCGTCGAAATAGCAATTCTTTCCAATACGATCAATATCTAACTTATAATTTTGGCAAATTTTAGTACCTAAACTTTTAATATCAACGACCAATCCGCAAAATGACGATCATTGATATCGGGCAAGGTATGATCATATCATATAGTAAACCACTGATGGGTTAAAAAAAGCAAAAGTTGATAGATTAAATTGTAAGAACAATGATGAAGTATAAATCGATATAATAGATGTTGAAGCTCCTGCTAGGCGAAGAAGAAGTTACCAATTGGGCGAGAGGCATCATCAACTCAGTTACATGTCGGAACAAACCGAACTGATTCCGGCTTTGTTGGATATAGCAGACACATGAATACTGGAAAGAGGGTTTGATCGTCAGTTGTCTTTCACTCGCCCTCCGCCTCCATTTCAGCATCTAAACAGCAAGCCAAATTCGCGAATAAGTCTTACGATTATCGGTTGAGACAGTATTTTGTTGATGTGATCTGTTCTGAATCTTTCCGCCTTAGCAACATCTCGAGAGGCTGATGAACGGATAATATCCGCAACTGAAGTCGCAAGTATCTCTGGGCAGATCGCTTGACCAAAAATGCTCATTTCGTTTACGTTGCTTAGTATGAGGATTCATCTCCTGTACGGCTCAAAAGGGTAACTCTGAAACTCAGAGCCGAACGTGATGGATTCATCATCAAGCTTCTTCTTCAATCTTCTCCAAGTCCTCAGCTTATCAGACTGTATCAACCCTTTATACAGTGTCTCGAAAGTTAGCTTTTGCGGTAAGAAACCCTTCTCTATCATCTCCACAAAGTGCCCACAAGCCTCCCTCCACTTCTCCTTTGCACACAACCCATGAACCAGTGAAGTGTATGAATCCAAATCTGGACCTGTCTCACTTGCTTTCAGATCATCCCATATCTCTTTCACAATATCCATCTTGTTCAAACTTATGAACGTACTCAGCAATACATTGTAGGTCTGTGTAGTTGGTTTGCACAATCCAATCTTCATTTTTCTGTACAGATTCAAAGCCCCATTGGCATCTTTTCTTCCTCTGTATTCTTTGAAGAAACAGTTATACGTAGCAGAGGAAGGGCTTATTCCATTTTCCACCATTTCGTTAAGCAGCTGCTCTGCATCCTCGAGCCTACCACAGGAACAGAGGCACTTCACCACCGAAGTATACGTTTCCATAGTCGGGCAAATCCCTTTGTCCTTCATCATATTCAACTTCTCCAAAGTCAATTCAGGCTTGTGTGCTCGGCTATACACATGGAGGACGATGGAGAAGCTCGTGACATCAGGTTCCATCCCTCTCTTACGCATTTCAACAAACACCTTCTCTGCATTCCTCACTGTCTTCTCAAATCTCTCTTCAGGGTGCAAACTCGCCTTCCGACAAATCCCATTGAGCAAAACATTATACGTAACGACGTTTGGTTCGATACCCAGTTCAACCATCTCCTTCAAGAACCTCTCCGCCATATCGATCCTACGAATCTTGCACCAACCACCAATCAAAACCGTATATATCTTCTCGTTAACCCCGAACTCACCTCTCCGTTCATTGAAAACCCCAGCGGCAGTCTTCACGTATCCGTATTTGCAGAGCGTATCAAGGAGGAAGCAGAACTCCTCCTTACCGACCCAATTGTCGACGAAGCACGGCGCATCGTTGAACGCACGGATGGCCTGGCGCGTGAGTCCGGCCCCGATGAGACGCTTCACGAGGATGAGAAACGTCTGTGAATTGGGTTTCACGTTCTGTTGCTCCATCTCGACGATGAGTTGCCAAGCGACGTCGAATTGGCGAACCCTAGCGAGGATGTCGATGACGAGGTTGAAGGAGGTGGGGTTTGTTGTGGGAGGGGAGGGCAGGGAGCGTAAATACTGGAAGAAGGCGAGGGCAATCTTGGAATTGTGCTGGAGGCGGAGGAGGGTCTGGTCGACGAGGTGGGGAGAGAGAGAGACGCCGTGAAGCTGGAGAGACGATTCCATGAAGTGGAAAGGGTTGTGATGGCTCACCAGAATCTGGGCTACCAATTCGGCGTCGTTGGAGGGTTCGAGTATCGGGAGGCCGAGCTTTGTTTTGCCGCCATCGTTTGCGGCGATGGAGAGGGAAGAGAGTCGGCGGAGTACGGAGGCGAAGCGGCGGAGAGGAAAAGAAGAAGAAGTTAGTTTCAGCATTGTTTCGCAAGCGCAAAGAAGAGACGGCTTTGGATGCAATATGAAGAACTAGATATCATAATGTTGTTTTCATTATGCATATAGTCTACAATTTCACACATGAAAAGATAAAATAAAATTATAATGTTAAACCAACGGCATTTAGGAAATAATGAAAGGCTATTTCAGACAATCCACGCTCCTACTGTTCATAAATCAAATCTATAGATTACAAAACCCGAAAAAAGATACATGTTGCAAATATCTTTCGGTGTATATATTTTTATAAAAAAATTCCATCTATAAACCAGTTCAAGAAACTCGGCTGATTTCATAAGCCAAATATATGGAAGGAGCCGATGTTGGAACAGCTCACACATCGACAATAAGAACTTAACACAACTATTATAATGTCCGCTAAGGTTATGGACGTTGAAACTATATTCCCATGTCAACACGAGATTTTTTATCGTGTTTTGTCCATTTCTCGAGAATTATTTTACACGAGTTAACCTATCATAAAACTCTAAAACAAGCAAACTTAAATTCAAAAGTCTCTCGTAGTAGATAATCGAAAAAATAGATACATCTTATTTTTTTATGAATATCTCAATCGATTCTTTTAAATTATTGCTTATTATATAGTTTTATATTTACACGGTCTTAGAATCTCTATTATTCAGGTGTATTCGATCCCTACTCAGTATTCTTTCTATCTAGAAACCTGTCATATAAACCGCTCATTATCCCAAGTGCATCAACCTCATATACCAAATAGTGGTTTTTTGACACACATACTTCTATATTATAAAACAATATCAACACCATCAATCCTAAAAATTCTGTAACATTATGCAAACCCAAATTACGAAGAAGTTTCAACTCTACCGAACTATTCGATCGAGTTTTAGAGTCAGAATCAGACGGTTGGCTCTCGAACATGAAATGCTATGGCCGTTTCGCATCCTGCGTGTATATATATACCCAAGTAATCCAACCACAATTACATCATATATCGCATTGGACGAACCATAACAAGTGTTCAGTGTCACAATTCGATGACATTGATGAGATTCGAATACATAAATCTAACGTTTTTGCTACATGGAGAGGATGTGTGGATGAAATCGGAGGTGAAATGGCGACGGAGATGCTGCAGGAGGAGCTCGGAAGTGTTCAAAGTGCAAATTCACGATAAATAGAACCAAATTAAACCGAACAATAAAACCATAATTTAAACCAGATAAAACCGACGGATGTGCCTTAATTAGAAAAAAAGTAATACAAACTCAAATTATCGAGCAATATTATAACAAATAAAAATAAAATAGAAAGAGTAAACAGTTTAGTAATTTGTATACAAAGTATTAGTTTTAAAAATTAAATAAATAAGAGTAAATATTTTATCTTAATTAATGAATACATTGTTAAGCCATATTATTAAAATCTATCTCAAAAGTCATGGGACTCGTTGACTATGTCAGAGCTTTGAGCTTCTCGACACCGTTTTACATTACAACCAATAGGATGTCAATCGAGTAGGCTCGCGAATTTCAGACTTGGGTTGGAACCGGTCTTATTTTTTCGGACCTATTTATTTCAATCTCAAAGCCTGGCTTTATAAGCTTCGGGTTCGGATTCGGATTAAGCATAACCCACTCAATTCTTTTGTAATTTTATTTTTCTTTTTGAAAAAAATATCAAAGTTTGAATTGAACCCAATACGAAAACCCAATTTTTTTCATACCGAAAATTTAAATTCGAAATCTGACATTTTTCGGATGGGTTTGGGTTGAACTTCAGACCTAAATTGACCCCTCACGAAGAGTCTTTAAAGATTTGACTGGCTTACGTCCATGTTAAAAATGTTATTAAAATTATTAATTAAAAAACAAAGGAATATATATATATATATATATATATATATATTGTTTAATGATAATGTTTGTCATCAAGAATTTATGTGATTTCTTTTCAAGCTTTCGTACACGCAATGAAATCTTTTATTTCAACATAAACATAAAAACATATCAATAAAATTTGAAAAAAAACGAAATCCTGTTTTCTAAATATAACAAAAAATATGTATAATGCCCAACAGAAGCAAAAAAACAAACAAAAAAAATAAAACAAAAAGAGCTGCGCAATGTGAGGCTTGGGTATGATATATCCGGTGCTTGCCACGTCAGCTAAAGACACCTTCGTGGAAGATGCATACATTCCATTATGATGATGGCGTTTATCCCAGCTTATATTTTAAAATTTTCCCACTACCGGAAAATTTATTTTTTTTAGGGATAAGGGTCCTGTAATTGATGAATTCTATTTTTTTAGGGTTTCTGTTAAGGTATTTTCAGATCTCTTTATATTCTGAGATAACAATTTATTTATATTTATTTATAGAATATCTTATATTTCTATAATTTTTCTATTTGTATTTTTTTTTTCACTTTTTTACTCTATGCCTTATCTCCGTATATATAATTATTTATACAAACATTTAGTAAATATAACTTCTTCAAATGTATCAAACGGAATACGATTTTCAGCTCATACCAAGTTAGGCAAAAAAAAAAAAAAAAATCCATATAAGAATTCCAAGGCAATTAAATCCTTACACATAATCCTAACACTTATCTCTATTCGATTCGAATTCGATAATACTCAGAATTCGAGGATCTTTTAATCTTTTTATTTTTTTAGTAGGACAAAAATAGCTTTAATCATAATCCAATAGATTAATGTGTTTCAAATTATTCCAAGAATTATGTTTGACTTTTCCAATGATAATAATGATTAGCTTTAATACTCAACATTCGCCGCCATATTTGACTTCCATATTGACGCTGAAGTTGAATTGAGGAGGAGAATGTAAGTGCTGAAGTTGATCCAAGCTCTCGGACAAGATAAGAACAAGTTGTCGTCGTTTCGTTTCGTTTTATAAATATTGTATTTGCATTAATAACTGCAATAATATATATATATATATATATATATATATACACACAAGTCACGATTAGTGAAAGATTTTTTTCTTATAACCAAAATGGTTTTCGGACAATCCATCCTAGGTTTGGAATCAACCTTTATATATAAATCATTTTATTTTCATCCAGAAATTATTATATTCCCAGTAAATTTATCCGTCCTAGTCCTAGTTTCATTGGAATAAAGTACTATTGATTCTCCACAAAATGAGGGGAGTACGTGGAATTTCAATTTTTTTCCTATCTTTCATATGCGCAATGGAATTTATTCTTGGAACGCAAATATAATAACCATCAATAAACTCTAAATTTGTACTTTTACAATATTGATAAAATTCACGCTTTCACAAAAAAAAAAAAAAAAGACTATTGTGTAAATATAATATAAAAATGTCTAATGCGATGCGCCCAGAAGCAAAGACAGGAAAAGCTCTGCGTGCCACGTCAGCAAATGACCTAAAGATGTGTTCATTCAATTATGATTATGGTCTGCGTGCCACGTCAGCCAAGGGGCATTTTCAGGTTAGGTTTTTGATATCATTTAGTAGTCCAAAAAACAAAATTTTCTTGACAATAATTTTGATTAATGGACTAACGTTTCAGTTTATTTCAAAATAATTATGTTGACCTCCTCCCATGATAATGATTTGGCTTTGCCGCGTTGGAGTGGACCTGCAACTTGTTCACGAAATCACTCGCCGCCATACTTGACTCACTTCCGTACACGCCCACTTGCTTTCATTTTTTTTTTATATATAAATTCAGAGCGATAAGAGAACAGAGCAAGAACAGCGGCGACGTAATCGTGTGTGTGTATATATATATATAAAAAAGATATCCATTCAAATTCCTCTCTGTTCCGTACATCTCTCCTCCACGAGAAGCTGAAATGGGTTCCGACGAATCTCCCGACCATACAAAACAAGGTATGTGTTATGTGTATATATACATATATGCACGAATCTGTCGCACTTTTGCTTATCTTTTTCTCTGTAATCGATTTCTTGGTCTGGACTCATTCGTTTTTCTGTTTATTTAGAGGCAGAAGAAGTTCACGTACAAATTCAGAATCAGGCATCGACAGACGAAACCCTAATCCAGAAGCTCAAGCGGCGAAAATGGTGGATTTCGCTCTTCATCTGTGCGGCCCTCGTCGTTATTGGACGTTCTTTATCTACACTGCTGCAGAATTTCTACTACGTCCAGACGGGACGTGAGGTGTGTGGCGATCCAAACCATTTGAAGGGCACTTGGCTCCAAGCCATCGTTCAAAACGCCGCGTTTCCGGTCACCGCCTTTTGCCTCCTCTTCTTCCGTTCGTTCTCCTGCGGCTCTACCGAAACCCGGCCTCTCTCTCTTTCATCTTCTTCCCCATCCCTCGGCCTCCTCTTGCTTTACGTATCTCTCGGTATCCTCTTTGCAGCGTATAGTGAACTATACGCGATCGGGAAAACGCATACATACCTCTTCCCTTGGATCTTTTTAACGCAAATAATCTTCACCGCAATCTTTGCAAAGTTCATCAACAAGCACAAATTCAACCGTTGGATCATATTAGCGATCATCCTTTCAGGGGTCGCAACAGGACTCGCCACCTCTGAAGATGCTTATTACCCTTGTGAGGATGAGAGCTACAGGATGGGGAGAGGTGCTTTATGTGCCTTATTCGGCACCGTCGCATTCTCTCTGTCGCTATGCATCATGCAATTAGGCTTCAAGAAGGTGATAAAGAACGCCGATATCTTCGGCATCAAGAAAGGATTCGGTTCTGTGCTAAAGATGCAAGTCTACGCTTCGATGATCGCAACACTGATATGCTTCGTGGGGTTATTCATTAGCGGTGAACACAAGGATCTGAAGGAAGATTATAACGGATTTCACAAGGGGAAGACCCTCTACGTGTTGAGCTTGATCGGGTTATCGATCTCGTGGCAAGTAATGTCGGTCGGTCTCGTGGGATCGGTGTTCTTCGCTTCTTCCGTCTTCTCTAACGTTGTGAACTTTTGCGCTTCGCCGGTTACGTACATCCTTGTTTCGTTGGCGTTTCGGTTTATGGACGACGAGGTCACTTGGCTCAAAGGAGGAGCTTTGTTAGCTGGAATCCTTTGTTTTGCTTCTTACGTATATTCATTGTACAGATCCATGAAGAGGCAGAACCAAGGTGTAAATCAAAGGGAGATCAATGATGTCCAAACTTAGTCTGTACATTCTTAATGTTTAGAATATAAAAACATAAGTGTTTCTCCTTGTTTGCTTATGCTATTTTTATTTTTATTTTTTTTAATATACTTTATTTTTTAGATATTCATTCCTGAGAGATTATAAAAGTAGGGAAATCTAATATAAGTATCCCAACTTTACAAAATATGTCAAATAAATAGTTAAACTTTTAATTTGATCTAATTGCCATCTCAATATTAAAATGTTTCAAATTGATATTTCAAATATTGAAATATTCTAAATAGATCTTAACTTATGAAATTGATGGCGATTTCCAACTTCGACTCTAATGACGAGTATAAATTAGATATTAATTTTCAACATAAAAAATAAAATTAACGAAATCGATGACAATTCAAAATGACGACAATGTCTAAATTAAATATTAATTCTAATATAAAAACAAATAGATGGTGTAAATTGCTTTCAATTTTGTGAGTTGGGTATCCATTTGGAATATTTTAACGTATGAAACATCAATTTGAAACATTTTAACGTTTGAAGTATCAATTAAAATTAAAAGTTTAAATATTTATTTGACACATTTTGTAAAGTTAAAGTATTTATGTGAAAAGTTTCCTAAAATTTACCCTTAGTTTGATGTTTTCATTTCAAACGTTAATGTGCCATCCCGTAAATCCTAGAAACCTAGCTATAGAATCTTCATTTGAGCCGAAAATGGCTCGAAACATTCTGAAACTGGGCCCAGATCGGGACGGTCCAAAAAATTGGTGAACTCACGGATCGAAAAGCTCGATTTTGAGGCCTCCTTTTTCGGTGAAATTGAACAGGAAACAAAGAAAATAGTTCCTGTGAATCCATCAAATTGAAAATAGAGAAATTGATTGCTTCTGTGATTCGTGCTCGAAAACAATATAGACGGGTGATCCTGTATTCATGTTCCTGATGTACCCCTAAATGTTTCTCGCACCGTTCCGTCCGAAGCCTTGGTCCAATAGGAAAAGTAGACCGACCGGTCCAGCCACTCCTCCTTCCACCGTTTAGGCTGATCGTCGGCCCAGGAAGAACCGGTTTTGGATTGAGTCCGTCCAGCTAGCCTAGACCGGATCGGTACAGACTTGGTCCTCAAACCAAAATTTGTACTTAACCCAACCGGTAAGTAAGAGACCTCGAGAGAAGTAGAATTGATAATTTGGGTTGATCGGAATCCAGTTTGATCGTAATGAAGGTTGAAAGAATGAAATGAAATTGATTAAAAATGAACAACCAAGAAAGATAAGATAAAGATGCGTGTGTGCATGAACGGTGGATACTCGTTGCATGACTACTTGTGATCGGAGAGTTGTCAGGATAGTTGGCATGGCGTGAGATGTTACTTGAAAGGGTTCGAAATGTTATCTTACGTATGTTTGAACTTTGAATATATTGATTCTGTGAAAAAATAGGGGTGGACATTTCGTTTTGGTTCTTCGAAACCGAACCGTACCGAAATGAAAATCTTGATATTTTTTCCGAACCGTACCATTCTAAATTTTCGAAAGGTATATTTTTTTATAGAACCGAATTTTGTGGAACCGAACCAAACCGAACTTTATAAAATTTCCAAAAAACCAAAATTTTCTTCAGAAATTTTAATTTAAAAAAAAAACCGAAATAAAAAAGAACTGAATAATATACGGTACTAATTTGGTACAAATTTAAAAATACAGAATAAATTGTTCTCGAACCGAACTGCTAAAATTCCGAAACGAATCCCGAAACATCCGCCGTAAAAGCATAAAGAGTATAACCTCCCTTCATTTTTATTTTCATGGACCAGGAGACATTACAGACGTAAGCATAGATCGTAAACTAACCTTAACAATAAACGCTGTCACAGAATATTACATACAAGGACATTGCTTGGCCGATTACGTGTTTTGTCCATATTACCTTCGGGAACTTTCCCTGCAAGCATGTAAGCCTTGTAGAAAACATCCTTAACTTGTTCTTGATCGCCCCACGCAGCCTGAAACTGTCTCAACAGAGTTGGGGTTACGAGCTCCACACCTTGTTCCTTGGCCTTCACGACTGGCTGCCACGATCTCAGAAACCCGAGAAACCCGTTAAGCGAAAGCTTATGCGGTATGTTAAAAGGGACGGGATTGCCCTCGGACCCCAACCCGATGCTCTCGAACGGAAACGGCAGCGTTTTGTAACCATCAAATGCCAAATTCATCGTGGGGTTCCGGAAAGGAAGCGTGGAATCCACCAGACGGTCCATGATGGGATCTACCTCCGGAGAAACTATGAGACGGTTGTAGACACAAACAGCGATCACGCCACCGGGTTTTTTGAGAACGCGTCTCGCTATGTTGTAGAATCTCCCGAGATCGAAATAGTGGACAGCCTGAGCGGCTATGATGAGATCCACGGAGTTTTCCCCGCCGACAAGAGACACCAGATCGTCGTCGGGCATCGATGCCGGGGTGTGATGGTAGGCGACTCTCGGATGCTTGATTGCTCGCTTGAGCTGTGAGTCGTTTATATCGGTTGCCACTACCTTTTCATAGTACTCGGCTACCTAGAAACACCATATTAAAACCATAGTATATATATCACCCTTGATGGTTTAAAACAAATGAAATTATATATCAAAATAAGCTATTCTCAAACTATAATCATTTTGGTATTATAGCCCATTTTTTGTAATCAAATTAAAATTAGAAGATTAATATTTGAACTGGTCAAATTTCTCTAAATAAAACCTAAACTTTTTTTTAATCTTTTAACTCGAACTCTGATATTCATTCTTAAATAAACTTGAATTTTGTCAACTACGTCAAATTTAACTCTAGATGTTAACATGACAATCCAAACGATGACGTGGTAATTTTGATTTTGACCAAATGTTATCACGTTTTGTGTCATGGAATAAATAAATAACATATTATATTTTTCTTTTAAAAAAATTTAAAAATTCTAAAAAAAAATAATAAAAAATAATACATATAATTACATGTATATATGTATACTGTATACATACATATATATATAAATACATATACATATATACATATTTTATATCTATACACATATTCTAATTTCCCTAATCAAAATAAGTTTCCCCTTATTCTTGTTGTGAGGCTAAGTTTCTATGAATAAATAGCAAATGAGAAAACAACCAGTTTATGAGTAGGTGGAAATACATACGCCTACGGCGGGGTGGCCGTTGCCAGTTCCGACATCCCAAGCGACGTTGTGTCCGGGCGTTCGAGCCGCTAACATTCGGAACCACTCGGCCGGATATCTCGGCCTAGCATCGAGGTAAGCATCGGCTTGCTTGTCTGACAAGGAGGCCAATTGTGCCATTTTTTGTTCTCCGTCCTTAAATTATATATGCTCGGGTTCAATTGCATCTCTCTTTATAAACACATCCTTATATAGAGTTCAAAAAAGTTGGGAAGTAGAATCTTATGCCCACTTAATGTTGTCTTTTTCATGTTTTAGGTCTTTAACTATTCCTTGGTTCCTTAGTCTTTAATTATTCTTTGATTTTTCCTGCTTTTATATATTGAGAATGTGTTCCATTTCAAAAGATAATGTCGAATCTTAAAATTAAATAAAGATATTCGTTCCAAGAGTATACATTGGGAGACGAATATTAATGTTGCAAACCTAAAAACAAACATTGAAATGATCGTTAGCCGAAAAACACTTCATATGATTTTTAATGCATTAGCAAGTGATAAATAAAACTCATTTATGTGTTTCCTTCCAGGGTTTTGAAGAAATTAGAGATGAATTTTGGGGGAAAAAAATGGCTACTTCACATTGATGTAGAAAAATCTGTGTCAAATCAATAATATTCGTTGTAAAAAATTAATACATCGTTAGAATTCGTCTATGAATTTGAGAGAGAAATGCAAATCAATATATATTTCTCTGGAGAATAAAAAATTCATATATTTATTAATAAGATTTGAACTGATAGATATATTTATTTATTTTTTCTAATTTGAATTTTAAATTGAAGAAGATAATTGTGAATATGGAAAAAAAGAAACTAGTTTTGAATTATTTTAAAATTATTTACAGTATAAAGGTGTTCGAGAAAACTAACATTACTAGATCTAATCTCTAAGTAGATTAAAATTATTTATTGTAACTTTTATTGGATATGAATTTAATAATAGTGAGTTTAGATTTTTGGTTCACAAACAAAGAAATTCTATATGAACATGTCAATAAAGTTATAGATGAAGGGACAGTATATTGTTGTAAATATGAATTTCATGATGAAATTATATTATTATATCAATCTTAATTTTGATTAGCTATTTTAAAAATTACAATCTTGTATATTGTTTAAAAAGTTAAAATTTAAATATAAATATAAGTATTTAATCTCTTTAATGCTTCACGGGGCTGGTCATAGCTGTAGATTGTGATGCAGTGTGGGCGATGTTTGTGTGTCCTTCGGAAAGACGTCTGCAAGGTGCCACGGCTTCTCGAAAGTCATCCAAACCAATCTACGGATAGACCGATCAGACACTCAGGGTGCGGCGGCCTGGAACAGCGGCTAATCGGTTGAGACAGAGGAACAATTACGTCCGTGATACGATACGAGGTAGATCAGAGGATCGAGTACGGCGGCGAAAGTGATTTTATGGATAACGAATGTAGCTCCAGGATTGTTTGTTGGATCAATAGAACACTTGAGGACCATTGTTACTATTATTCATTTGGTACAAAAAAATGGCATTCCGACACGAAGTTCAAAATGGGTTTTCAAATGGTGGCATATGGTAGTTGTACGGAATCCGTGGGTCGCCAAAATGTCTTCTGAACACACAGCAAACCCTCCTCGTCCATAGAGTAAGTCATTCGTACCTCCCAGTTCATGGACCTCACCAGAGCCTCGAGCTCATTGATCGTTTCCACGTTGTCCCGAACGATCAGATTCCCGTCAGGCCTCAGCATTCGATCCACTTCCGCGAGCACCGCCACAAAATTGCATCTGTTGTTTGTGGCCACATCGGTTTCCACGTCACTAACGTTGCAATCACAAATGCGAAGAGAAATGCTGAGGAAAAGGTTATCACACTGACCTATTTTTTATCGCAGAGAAAATATGGTCAGCATGGACGAGGTCGTAAGTACGGGGATATGTACTGAATGATTCACACCAGTCGTGATAAATTCCAAAGAGACCACGTTCGTATATAATGGGAAGTGTATCCGCCGAGTCTATTGGAACCACATTCATGACCCACACGTCTAGGTCTCTAAGCGCTGCCGCAAATCTGCGAAAAGAACCCGATCGGATCAGCATGCAAGAAGAAAAGTCTGTTAATCAAAGCTAAAACGATCATAACCATTCTTGTGCAAATTCAACAGATGATTGGCTTACCCTCCATAGAAAGCTTGCATGTCCATGACATTTCTGATAGATGACCAATCGATTCCGAGTCCATTCAGGTATGACTCAGTCACGACCCGTTTCCAGTGTTCATAATCTGCAGTGAAATCTTCCGGACCCGGTTTACTGAAAACTCCTACTTGGGAACCCAACAACCAGTAAGGAGGTTTCTCCATTCTGGCAGGCCACTGCTCGGGCCACTGAGATCCACGTTCTGTTTTGTCCTCCGGCACTTTGTGCATGCACGCTTGAAGAGGCACCTGCCTAAAGAAGAAGAATCATCCAGCTTATTCACTTGGTTAATGGACTAAAAAGCACTTCAATTTTGCAAGTTGTTTCAATATGATTTAATGTTCTTGGAACGAAATGCTCATAAATTTAGCTTATTTTAGATGGGGAAAAAAATCTCGAAGCAGCTATTATTTCATAAAGAAGTTGCTTTCTCCTTTGTGGGATGAAGAAGCTTACCATGCTGCGTTTGGATCATCAGACGGAGAGCAAAGAGGAGGTTCTTGCTGTGATCTGCTCTGGTAGCAGTCATTCGAAGTAGGCTTCCTGAAGGTTGCTATAGAAACGCCATTGCGGTCATCCTTTTTGATGGATACAAGTTCCCAGCACATGTCCTTCGTTAGTTTACTCATGGCTGAAACAGTTCCAATAAGACGAAACGGAGCATTAGTTTTAGTTTACTACTCAATGATGATTCATAATGCCATATGAAAGGAAATTAACCTTTCCAGATTTCAACATCTTCTGGAAGATTCTGATAAACAGGTGTAGCTGACCACACGAAAAAACCTCCAGGCCGTAACACCCGGTTCAGCTCCAAGAGAAGTTTACCACCTTCACATAACATCATCATAAGAAACGTGACAAGGAATATATGTAGCAAGAGACTGTTAGATTATCGCCAAAACAACAAAACCCATATTACGATTTTGAAATATATAAGCGTAACTATCACCTTCTATGTGCCACGGTACTCTACACCGCGCACAATGGACTAAGTCAAAAACTCTGCCGGGGAAAGGAAGCCTCTGAGTGCCCATGACAGCAGAAATGGCAGGGAGGCCTCTTTCAAGGGCGAACTGCACCTGAGCTTCATGCTCATCTTTAGGAGCTAACGACATTGTAACCACATCCTTGTCGAAAAGAAAACCTCCGAAGCTAGCAACTCCACATCCGACATCCAATATAACACGCGTTCGTTTTCCCCAAGCAATTTCAGGTACAGACTGCGACAAGCATAGAAATGAACTCAAAAAACAAATTCAATAAAAGAAAAGGAAGAGAGGGAGAGAGATAGAAAGGGCGGAAGAAGTTTACGCTCTGGATGAAATCAATGTAATGACTAGCACCGTGCTTAAACTGAGTTCCACCACCAGGAAAAATCAGGTATTCGCCACTAACTTTGACCCAGTTTTGGCTCTTCTTGTATTCAGCGAGCTGGGTCTGGGGAACGTTGTTATACCATATCTAGAAAAAAAAAATAGCAAAATGTCAGTCTCACAGCATGGAAATACATACCACAATGAAGCAACATAACAGATGGGATACCTTTTCTCTGCTGTTTGGCCATCGAATTGAGCGTTTGTACCCCTGGGGAAGGGGAACGAGACACATGGGTGGCTCTTGAGGGCAGTGCCTCTCTCGATGTTCGTAATGCATGTTGGAGCGAAGACTTTTTACTGCCAGCAAATTATCAAGGCATGGGATGAAATCAGGCCCTGCAGTGGTATTGCAGAGCTTCCAACTGTAGTCTTTTTTGGTATAAGAAGATAGCTGAGCATCCTTTTCATTCTTGGACTCTGTTGCCTGAGTAGGGAACGAACCATTTGCGGACGCCGTTTCATTTAGAAGCTCGGACTGCGCACCTGAAGGTAATATGTCATTAGACTTATTACCTGGCTTCACCCGATTACTTTCTTTGTCATCAGAATTACCATCATCATCCTCGGTATTTGTCTCCTCTGTTCCAGAATCTTCATTTTTACTCGTTTTGTCCTGTATCTCATCGGCCTTTCTGCCTCCTTTGGCCGCATCACCAGGTAAATCGCCTCGGCTATCCTTGGTAGATGGAGTAACCTGCTCCTTCGCTTCACCTTTCTTCTCAAGAGATTGTTCATCGAATGTTGTAACGCCCACTGAAGATTGTGAAGTCATCATCCACACACCAACTAAGCCTAATGCCACGAACACAACGATCGAACCTGTCGAGCAATAACCCGACAAGTACCTTCTATTGTCCATCCGACTGTTTCTGACCAACGCCATAACTTACTACTTCCTGTTAAAACTGCAGGCAAATGGCATGTAAAACTCAGGTAATGTTTCCACCAGAATTCCACAATGCCTCTACAAATTAACAATTTCTTCGCTATCCAATACAGAGTAGCAAACTTAATACCAGGTAACACATTCCCAAGCAAACAAAAAGAAAATGAAATTAAAACAGCGCAAGAAGTATACTAACAATGAACTAAGAACCCTAGCGCCAAAATTCAAACACTACAGTTCCCGCTGCAAACGATTTCGAAATCGACACAAAATTCAACAACCATCGACATTGTGCATGCTATCCAGATCACCAAAACATCGAACCGGAACGAAACGCACAGGCGAAAACAAAGAACTCAAATTCTCGACTACAGTACGACAAACGAGTCACCAGTAGCCACGAACCGGAGCGAAACGCGAAGCGATGAACAACGAATCAAGCAACAAATGAACTTCAAATCGTGTTCCGAGAAAGAAAAAAAATCGAAAAAAAACGATCATCATCCGAAGTACTAACGCAAACAACGTCGATCAACACGTGAAACCGAAAAAAAAATGGCTTCCAGCAAAAAACCAGATTTGGCGTTACCTGATTCTACAAAACAGACGAGCAGATCTAGAAAGGCAGAATTGTAACAAGTGATCGGTTCATTTCCGTCGCTTCGCCGGGAAAATCGAGGGAGAAAAGAAAAGCTGCAACAGAGGAATTTAGAACGGAGAAAGACTCTATATATATGAACGGAGGCTACAACAACATCTTAGCAGCTCCTGCAACTAAACGGCATTTTATTTAATTAATTAACAATAAAGTTTTATTTTTTAAACCAAAAAAAAGTTTTAATAAAAAAAAAAATCATAGACATGAAGTCTGATACTCTAGAAAGGTAGGAGACAGTAAACTTTGTCACGAAAATCCCAAAATAATTTTGTTTCTTCCTTTTTTGGCTAAATGGTAAAATATATTCAAATTTATAATTTATATTCTAATTTGGGCAGATTTTGCTTATTTTGATTTCCCAAATTTTATTTTTTTAACGTACGATTTTAAGAAACACGTTGAATTTATTGAGTAACTGTATTAGATTAATGTAGAAAGATATTAGGTAGACAGAAAGATTTTTTTTTTAATATTTTATACTCATATTAAATCCTGCATGAGAGGCATTAATCATTTTTCTACTTTTTTACAGATTTATTTCTGAAGTCAGATATTCCAGAGGGAAGTTGAAAGATTTGACAATGAATAGTTAACATTTCTTTTGTAGAGTTTTATCACAAATGCAATATCATTATGTATTATTTTTCCACACAAAAAAAAATGTTTTCCTTTTTTCTAGGGTAATTAAAAATGTATTATTATTTATAAAATTATCATCTCTGGTTTTGGCAGATTTCTGCTTATTGATCGATTTTCATGCTAATGAATAAAATTTCTTTTTCTTTTTTTTAAAAAACAGATTTACAGATTTATTACAACACAAATCTGGTGGTTTACATTCTTTATTTTTTTAGCTAATAACCGAACTTGTTTTTTTTCTTATTTTGCAAGATTTATTGGAAATAAACAAGGTTTGGATGCCTCGGGATTCAGTTTCGTATTTGTTAGATTCATATTATTCTCTTGTAGAAAATTTTGGCCCATTCGATTATTAAATTGCATCCTATTTGGTTATCGGTTTTGTTTTCGTTTTAATTCGATTAAAAAATATTTATTTAAAATTTTTTTTTTTAATATTCGATTCGATAAAAAATCTATTTATAAATGGTAGATTTTTTTTTTAATTAGGTAAATATATTGTTATAAAGCAAGTCAACTAAAATCTAAAAGAGTTATACTCCCAAATCTAAATAGAATTTCATGAATCTGGATTTATATTCCCAAAAATATTTGGGCATGAATCCAATCCAAGTGTAATGAGAAATGATTTCATTGCACTCCATAATGGACATATACACATTATTTTTAATTGATTTTTTTAATTAAAATAATTTTCCAATTTTTTTAAAAAAACTATATTTTATAAAATTTGACCGGTTATTTTTTTGTTTTTAAATCTAAAAACTCTAAAAATTCTATTGGACCAATGGATTTGTGGTAGATTTGAAGGATTGCTGGGAATTAAGAGTTTTTACTAAGTTCATGTATGGATGTAAGTTTTTAAATGAAATAGTTTTATAAGTGGAAGATTTTTTCTTGGGATTAACCATGTATTTTATTACTGATTAGTAATCAACTAAACGTTTATCTATCTAATTAGACAAATTAATATAATGGAGTTGTTCGTTTAGTTTTGTAACTATGATATAACTAGAATCAAATTACCACAACCCTCTTCTTTATAGCAAATTGGGATGGGTTATACATGAGGAACTTTTCAATACAGCTATTCATAATCAAACGTATCGAAGCAAAAAGTATGGTATTTTTTTCGAATCGAATTGTCCAAAATTTTCGAAATATAATTTTTAAAAAATTGAATTTTTTGTCGAATTTCAAAAACCTTAAAAATCGAAATTTTCTTAAAAAGATTTTTTTAAAATAAAAACTTTAACCAAATCGAACCAAATATAATATTATAATTGATTGATACATATTTTTATAAAATTAAAAGAATCGAACTGAAATTATTTTCGAACGGAATACCAAAACAATCATCCTAAACAAACCGTGAAAAATTACCGAAATACTACGTGATAGAAAAAAAAAAGTTATAAAAAAAAGTTATGCCAAACAATGTTATTATTTTTCTTTTTTCTTTTTTTCTTTTTATATTTTCTTATTCTATTTTGTTTTGTTTTTCAGTGTCCATATAAAATAAAATAAAATGGGGAAAAAATCTTAGAAGTTGGAACTTTGGGTTACCGAACAGCTCTATTTCATGGCGTTAATCCTCCGACCTTTCTCCGTTTCTGGTATATTATCCTCTTCCTCCTCTCTGCGGGCAGATTCGTCTTTGGCTCAGACAGGGTTCTGTCTCTTATTCGTTTTTGTTTCTTCTCGTGTCGTATTCCATCGATCTTATTTTTTGGCCCAAAGAACTGAGAACTGTCAGGAAGATAGGAAATTGATTGCTTCTTGATAAGCTTAGCCATGTCGAAATTGTTCGATTCGATTGCAATGATATTGACGCGGTTCGGGCTTCTACATGAACTATTAAGTCTCTAGATTACGGAATCCTTTATGGGTCCTGTCAAATTTGGTGGTTACTAGCAAGTGCTCTGCAAGGGCATCACCAGTGATGATCCCAGTGGTTGAGAGTATTGGAAATAACACTTGGGTTTGCAATTACGTGTGTGAATTTAGATTAAAAATACAAGCTTTGATGTGGGGATGTTTAATTTTCAGGTGTAATCGAATTCAAATGAGTTCTTCCATTGCTCTTGTCCTTTATGATGGTTTTCAGTTTGTTTATCATTTGCTGAGAATGTAGGGGTCAGGTGTTCTTGGTCGGAACAGAAGAAGAGATAGGTTTCGAATATATGTATCAAGAAGATGTTCTTAGATATTCCAGTTGAACGGATGATGAATTGCGTATGGTCGTTGACATAGATTCTTTTCTTGTATTCTCCTTTGGACTTTAGGAAGTGCTGGATTTTCTGCTAAAAAATCTGTATTCAAGAGGAAGAATCATCAGGGGATTGGTTTCGAGATGTTTGGATTGGATAGATACATGCAAAAGCTATTACCTTTGACGACAATACGTTCTTTTGGACCGGCGGGAGCTTCCATTTCTTGCTCGTACAATACAGAGAACGATCCCCTCTTACCTTCTATCCAACAGTTAACCGATGCTCGTGTCATCTATAGTGTCTCTGCCGCATTGGGTCATAATAAGGTAGAAACATTTGGTCAAATTATGTTCTTTTATAATGTTTTCATTCCTTTTGAAGCTTTCTTTTTTTTCGATATTGTTCATAGGAATCACATCCCGAATGCAGCGCCAGAGTTCCCGCAATTGTTACTGCTCTTGAGAAGAGTGAGCTCACTCCAAAGGTATGGGAAAATGATCCAAATTTGTTTTCTCATCCATTTTACCGATATTCAGGTTGACACCTCATATATTTTCTTGCATCAGATACAGATATTGTCTCTGTTTGGGAACTTATCATTTCTTGGAAAAATATAGAAGGGTTGATCTACACTTGTCTAGACTTGAATACAAACCCGGAAAAGAAACGAATTATTTCTATGATACATTAGATACTTTTACTCGGTATATTGCTGAAATATTCACCATTATATATGTGCCTCGGAAGCATACACATTGATTCCTGTGATGAATAAAACTCGGGGGGACTTAATGGTGAAGATCTCTGTCACTACATTGACGTGTGATCTGTCCATGAAAGTTAAGTTCTGATTGGTATCCTTTTTTTTTTCTTTATTTCAGTTCCGAAGCTCGGAGATTCTTGAACTCAGAAACTTTAAGCCTGCATCGATAGAAGACATTGCAAGTGTTCATGAAAAGGCTTATGTATTAGGCCTGGAGAAGGTTATTCACTTTCTTGTTTTGACTCAGTTACCTTTATTATTCATTGATTGGATTCTAAAGACAGTCAATTTCAGTCACATATCACAATTCGTGAAATGAGAAAAGGCGTATGTATAGCTTTGCTGATGGTCATGTAGAGGTAGGATATCGAAAACCGTGGAGTATCACATTTATTTTCGTCATTTCTGAGGCGATCTTATCTGTGTTTAGGCAATGGATCGGGTTTCAGAGAAGGGACTAGTTCTCATTGATGGTTCAGGGCCAACATATGCTACTCCTACGGTTGGTCTATTCATTTTTTGTTTTCCTTCGTCGTATCTCTGCGCATTCCGCTTTTTCTGTTTCGCCTAAGTTGCATCTGTCTAAGGAAATTGTGCTATTTGTCCATACGAAGCAAACTTCTTCTCGTGTTTGGAAACAACTTTGGTACGATGGCAAATAAGTGCTTTATCTGATGAAACCGACGAGCCTCCTTTTCTTCACGTGTTTTTTCTCTGTAAGGACAGATGCAGATTTACTAGGACATGACACCTTCTTTCTCTCGACGTGTAACATCAGACATTCCAAGATTCGCTTATTGCAGCAGGAGCAGGAATCGCGTTAGTTGACTCAGTGGTGATGTCTCATCTCCCCACGTTAGTCTCTTTGTAAAAATGATCTCTACGATCCGTTATAGTCCTACTGGAAATGGTAGATTCTTGGAAACTTGGTTTGGCATTTCAGATCGCCGCATCTAAGATAAGCACGGATCCTCCCACTGGTTTCGCTCTGGTAAGACCTCCGGGACACCATGCAATCCCAAAAGGTCCAATGGGGTTTTGCGTGTTCGGAAATGTGGCCATTGCTGCTCGCCATGCCCAACGGGTACACGGACTGAAGCGGATTTTCATTATCGATTTCGATGTTCATCACGGGAATGGAACAAATGATGCATTTTATGAGGACCCTGATATATTCTTTCTTTCAACTCATCAGGTAAAGCAAAAATTTCAACTAAATGTCTCCTCTGTACTTATTGTGTAAATTATGTTACCGTCTTTCCGTGAACTCAGGATGGAAGCTATCCCGGGACAGGGAAAATCGGCGACATAGGCAAAGGAGACGGAGAAGGAGCCACTTTGAATTTGCCTTTACCCGGAGGGTCAGGTGATATCGCCATGAGAACTTTGTTCGATGATATCATCGTTCCATGTGCTCAACGGTTCAAGCCAGATATGATTCTCGTCTCCGCAGGGTAAGTTACACTTTTGATATGGTTCCAGGTTCTGTATTTCGAAATAACCCATCGTGGTTCCGAAGAACCTGAACCATAACTTGTGGTACGGGTTTCTAGCCTCGTCACACCCATTTTTATATCATTCGTAGTGAGTAACCATGACTCAGATATCAACGAGACCAATCACCAGAAAACCTGCGGGTATCGAGTAAAAATGTCCGCGCCCTATATATCTTATGCTCTATCAGGATTTTTCTGGCTTTTTCTATGACTCCTTAGGTACGACGCCCATGTCCTGGATCCATTAGCAAAGCTGCAATTCACGACAGGAACGTACTACGCGTTGGCGAAAAGCATCAAACAGCTAGCCAAGGAACTGTGCGGAGGGCGCTGTGTGTTCTTCTTGGAAGGAGGCTACAACCTCCAATCCCTTTCGCAATCTGTTGCGGATTCGTTCCGAGCATTTCTCGGGGAGAAAAGCTTGGCCGCGGAATTCGACAATCCGGCTTACCTATATGAAGAACCGATGACAAAGGTACAACAAGCAATTCAGAGAGCAAAAAGTATTCACTGCCTTTGACTATGATTTTCCCTTCATGCTCTCAATCTGTTTTTTTTTCTTTCTTTTTTGTGTAATTCATGAAAACCATATTCAGCTTTTACATAACATATTTAGAGTTTGTTTTCCACATTATAAAACTGTTACCCAAACACAAAAACCGATGAAACAGAAACACAAAGCATTTGTTCATATCACGAGTGTAGGAAAGAGGCATATATTCCAAATCACATGTTTGGTTTCTGATCCCGATATTAGTTTGACCTGACATTCGATTACCGAAAAAAAAAGTTGGTCAGAGTTTTACATATAACAGAGTTACAAACGATCACTCTTTATGGGTAATGGCATTGCATAGACAAAAGTTGCACAAAAAAGGGTTACAAACGATCACTCCTTATAGAGTTTTTCCATTTTTGAAGTACAAAAATTGATTCCTCAATTTGAGTGAATACACAATAATTGATTTGGTTAACAAAAAATAATTGAAATGAAATTTATTATAAATTTATATTTATTAATTAGTTTAAATTTTAGTACGTTAGATAGATGTTCATCATTTACAATTTTGAAACTCGCTTAGCGACGTCTCCGGCCCTTATCAATGACATGTTTGCTTGGAGCCATCTTGCCTCGGCTATCGCATTGTCTGAAAACAAGGAAAATGCCTTCGCCTCTCTCCACAGTGTAGCTTTCTTCACTATCTATCTGCATCTCTGTCGTCAGACCCTGTTCATCTCCTGGATCATATGGAACTTCAGCGAGTTCTACAAATGTCTCATTTTTGGAAAGGGGTTGTGATCTCGGGTTTCATCACTGACGCGATAGGAACACATTCGGTTTTCGGGGCCTTTTTGTCCGGTCAAACGGGCTTCGTGGGTGTAACCCTCGTCGAAAAACTCGAAGATTTTCATCTCAGAGCCAATCCGTGAAGGCATAACTCTTGGGCTGCTGCTAAACACCAAAGGGCTTGTCGAAAGGATAGCGTCCTTGCTGTTGGAAAGGATCAAAAGTTTTCAGGTGATGAAACTGGCACAACCTGTGATCCGGAGAACAGTAAAACCTGCAATCCGGAGTAGAACTTAGGGAAGAAAGAAGAGATTCCCTTGAACGCATGACATTACCCAACCACTTATCTCCGTAACCGTAACTACTCGAGCCCTGCTCCTCTTCCCTCTTCCGCTTGCCCCACTCGTGCCTTTTGAGCGCATGCTTACTTTCAGAAACCTTCGCCACCATGGTGATCGTAGCCGTGATCATGTCTGAGCTCATCATGCCTATTGCAACCATCGTTTGTAGGCCTGCGAAAAGGTTTGCTCCATATAAGAGGCGAACCATCCAAAAGGTGAAGCCGGACAGCGGGTTTCGGGTGCTTGTATGCATCCACACACCGCATAATGTCCCCACATTAATCAACCTTCTCAGAGCTTCACATTCCACGAGGAGATCACCCATATGTATCTATGTACTACATCTGCCATGCTTATCGTCCACAACTCCCGTAAATCTGGACAACCAGCTATTAACAGAACCCAAGCTCAATCAGACCATATCATCAATGCCTTTGAGGATTACGAGCAACACGCTGCGTAAGTCAACGTTCAGCCCTTTACATCTATTTTTCCGTACTCTAAGTCTACGATGTACGAAGATATATCCAACCTAACAGAGGATAAACATGAATCCTTCATAATTATACCATTCCACAAACCGCAAACAGTTGATGGAGGAACGAAAGCCATCAACCCGGCCTACCGCTTATTCAACCAGAATCTACTTGAAAATGCACCTTGTTCAGTAGGAATTCTTGTCGGTAAAGGACTCAACGAGGGCACGAGATTGGCTTCAAACATTGTATCTCTCCAAGTGGTTGTATTATTTTTCTTGGGTCCAGTCCAGAATGACAAAGAAGCCTTAGCCTTGGAGAATTTCTGAACACCCGGGTATCACCATACCAGTTACGTGCTACGTTCCGGGTGAGGATGTAGCATTACCAAAGTCCGCTCCTGAAACTGATCAAAGTGACTTGACGATGACCCGAATTGCTATGGACTTCAGCAAGGAAAGTGAGCTTGATGACGAATATGTAAAATGTTCCATACCTGCAGTAAAATGCTCCACCCATCAAAGGAAGCCACACCTAAGCATGAAAGGGTAGTATCTCGATTATGTCTCGCCATAACACTCCAGGCTGAATCAAGCAAGATGTTGGGAAGATATCCACAAGTAGCAGCCGTTTTATAGCTACGATAAATTAATCATCTCCAGGCTCCAAAATCGATGGCTTGCAGAGATATATGACCTAAATACAGATCTTTCAAGTGTTGTTTACACAAACCCATCCGCCTTCCATTCAAGCTAGGATGAATACAAACAGCGAATCCAGTTCTCCAACTGGGAAACTTCTGTCTCTCCATTGCATGTAGCGTATAAACACAAGGTGCTGGGGCCGAGCAACCGATTACAAAGCAATTGCAAGGCCTCGACCGGCTCACCATCCGGGCTAGAGATAATAGACACAAACCACTATAAGAAATGCCATAAGTTAAATTCTCATCTCCATCAAAGGCGTGAGAATCTAGTTTCCAGTGTTCTATCTCTTCAACAAATGGAATCGCGCTAAGTTCTGAATCCAGGCGTTTCTCTATTTCATTTTCATGTATTCGATATTTTGCTGCCAGAGTACGGATGCATGATTTTCTGACCTGATTGTTGATGATGAGCTTTAACTCATCGAAATTGCTACAGCCTTGGTACCACACCACCCATCGCCGAACAAGTCCTGAAAACCAATCAATTATCTGATCTGAATCTTGCAAAATTAGCAAAGAATTTGAATGAGCATAACCCTCTGTGGTTATTAATCCGTAGCGAGAAAGACGCCTGCTAATGGCATCAGTAGGAGCAACAATGTCTCCATACCATACAGGTTCAACAGAAGAGGTTGGACTTGCCAAAAGTGCTTCCGAGCTAGATGTCTCTGAAGAAACATATTCCGAAGCACATTTTTGGAACTTGTAATATGAATCTCTTAGTTCTTGAGGAAGTGAAGGTTCCGCAACATATTTGGACAATATGAACTCCTCGCTTCTAGCTGCTGAGGTTTTTACTATGTCCTGCATCCATATTTTCACCAAGGCCTTGTACCAATGATCAGTTTCCATCCCTGCCTTTCTGAAGCAAGATATTTTGCTTAACGTAGAGTTACTATCGACCAAGCTTTTGATTTCAGACTCTTTAACCTTCTTCAAACCATGTCCCAACCATTTCTTCCCTATCCTACCGGTACCCAAGCCCCAAGCCTCTTCTCTCTGCAATGCAAACAGCTTGACCTTCTCCTTTAACTTGTGAACAGCTCTAACAGCCGGTGTTTCTCTCACAATTTTTCTAACTACGGTCCCCAGGAAGCGAATCCCACGTGTCTCTTCACATGGTGATACGTCCGATTCATCCATGACTTCCAAATACAAAGAGTTGCGTAAAAACTCCATAGCATCAGACTTTAGATCACAAGCAACGTTTTTGGGACCAGCAACAGAGAAAAAGATCTCATCCATGAATCTACAACAGTTAACTCTTACAACAGTGTCTTCCTTGCCCGGCGTAGTTTTCAAAACTTGTTCTTTGATCTGTCTCCTAAACCAGGAACGAAGTTTAGAACCGGACCTGTTTTCAATAGTAAGAGAATCGGGATACAGTGCCTCATGCCTCATTGAGATTCTGCAAAATTCACGGTCAAAGAGGTCAAGATATATGTTCATCAATACAGGGCACAACGTCCCTTCTTGTGGAAGACCGTGGCCCTTTGGGAATCCTCCAAACTCAAGATTGAGAACCTGAGCTTCAAACATAGTTTGCAGCAAGCGATATAAGCTGTCATCTTCTATTCTCTCCTTCATTCCAGAAAGCAGTTTCTCAAAGACACAACTATCTAGCTTTTTGTTTAGACACAAAGTGAAACACCAATCCGATTTAGACATCGTGTTGCTGACGAACTTCAACGCGGAGGTATATCCCCTCCCACTTCGGCAACCATGTGAAATCTTAGAGAAATGGGGCCTGTAAACAACTTCCAGAACTATCCTGATGGCTTCTTGAACAACCGTCAAGGCTACACTGGGCAGAACAAGTACCTCTTTGGTCTTACCTCTCGCAACGAGAGAGAATGTATTGGCACTAGCATCAAAAGTCCCGCTCGAGAGCTCTTCTGCAATAGCATCAAACGCTAAATCCCCGTCACTCTCTTTTATCGAAACATTGGAGTTAAGTCTAATACAATCATAAGCATCCCGAAGGGTTTCTGGTCTGGCAACCACTTTCTTCAACAGGTCTTTGAACTTCCCGCCAGTGTATTGCTCCTTGGCCCTTTTCTTTATCCGGAGTTCCAGAGATTTCTTTAGCTCCACACGGCTTCTGGGTTTTCTTTCATGAAGACGACAAGACGATTCTTCAACAAGACAAGCGAGTTCTCCTGCCAATGAAACCGTTCTTGCTTGCTCGCCATTTTTCTCATCATCACTCGCAAGAAATGAATAACTCGCACAAAACTGCACTTCTTGACCATGGATCCCATTTACGATACGTGAACCTTCAAGAACAAACCAAACAGAGAATGACAAATTTCAAAAGGTCAGTCCTTTTCTGTATTACAGATCTTAAAAAACACTGGTTTTGAATCACAAATTCAGGTCAAATTGAGACAAAATTTCTAGAATCCTCTCCTGGGCAGACAGAAAAACCACGGTCGAAGGTTTTTGCGATCTTACTCGAGGCAGGACTAACATTTCTGCCCGCAAAAACCACAGCCTCGAACACATTCCTCCGGAGAAATCTTCTCATCATGATTCAGAGAATTAACAACGCGAACTCCATGACCCAAAAAGCGATTAACAGATAGGGTTCCGATACTTGAAGACCCATAAAAAACCACGAACAAAATAATGAACTTTTCCGGCAGAAATCATGCTAGATAGAGGGAAGAGTGAATAAAATAGCAGCGGCGAGAGTGATCGGCGGGGAATCGGTGGAAAAAAGTCGTCGGAGATAGAGAGGGTGACGGAGTTATGGTGAAGGATAGAGCCGCAAAGCAGAACCAGACATCGTCGTTCTGAACCCTGCACTGGTCGTAGGGTTTTAGATCCACTTTGTCAAGGACCAAACCAAACAAAATCCAAGTTTTTTTTTAAATTTTAAATGCAAAAATATTAATACTAAATATTGATTATGAAATCACATGAAACTTTAATAATTAATATATTATATAAAAAATTAGATATTTATTGAAAATTTTAACTAAGTTATATATTTCTATAATTTTTATAATGGAATTTTGAAACTAATTGTTTTGGAAAAAATCAATAATAATCTAAAAACAATAATTCGTGAATTTTTATCCTCGTCCTTAATTCAGGTATCCGTTAAAAATAATGGTGTAGGATTTAAAATAATAATATTTTAACATTATAATTTTATAAAATTTAATGATAAATGTCAAAATAATATTTTGTAACAGTATTTGAAAATATTAATATGTATCAAAAAAAGTTACAAGACTTTAAGTGGAACACGTTTCAGACAAAAGGGGGAACAATACAACGATATCCATACGTGTCTGCAGAATATCGTATCCATATTAAAACATATTTAAATTATTTTTACATACTTTCTTATTATGACATAATAACACGAACTGTACATGTCATGTATCTCGGCGTATATATAGATATATAGTATTATTTATTTCCTTAATTTTGAATACCTCCACTTTGTCCATGAAAAAAAAAAAAGCTTACCTTTCTTCCACCTTTGGCTGTTCACATGCACAATAATTATATATATATATATATACATATATAAAGTAGCAATAGCAATATATACATATTATATAGGGAAAATATAAAGTAAACTGTAGAAGGTGGTGAAGCGTCTTCCCCCCTTCGTTATCATCCCGCCATGGCTTTACAGTAATCATTACACACACACGCAATATTTCCTGCGCTCTCTTTCCTCTGCTTTTCTTCTTTCTTGTTTAGTCTGCATTTTCTCGGATTTGGGTAGGCAAAATTATTCACGTTGAAAAAATTCTTCGGATTTTCATACATGAAAAAAGGGTGATTCAACGCTTTTGAAAGGATTTCCAGTCCTAAGGTCTGTGTTCTTCTCGAAGAACATGTTTTCTGAATCTTCTGAATTAACCCTTTTTCTTCCCGAAATTATTCGGGTTCGATGAGATTTTCTCGTACCCTTCATGGGCTCTGCGTTTTTTAATCAGCTTCCCGGAAAATTACAACGACAACAATGGAATCGGAGAAATCCAATCTCGGAGCCATCTTCGGTGCCTTTGTTAGACCTTCATGGGCATTTCTTCTCCTCCTCTTCACCGTCGTAGCGATTCTCTCCCTCCAAATCTCCTCCTATTCCATTTTTCCTCTCTGGGTCCTCTCCGGATCCGACGATCCGGCGACCCGACTCGGTGACCCGACTCGGACCTGCGCCGGGTTCTTCCGCGGAGACCCGCCGCCGAGAGGGTTCGTGATGTCGATAACGGATTTCGGCGGAGTCGGCGATGGCGAGACATCGAACACGGCGGCGTTCCGCCGCGCCGTACGGCACATGCGGCGATTCTCCGGCGAGAGTGGGGCCCAGTTGAACGTTCCAAAGGGCACGTGGGTTACCGGAAGCTTCAACCTCACCAGCAATTTCACGCTGTTTCTCGAACATGGAGCTGTGATTTTGGGATCCCAGGTAATTAAATAAATATTAAAAATTAAATTACGGAGGAATTTTATATTCATAAGAATCAGATTGCTTATGTTCCGGACATAGGAATAAGGATTGCTCCATTCAGCTTTCACGAGAATGCAAACTCGGGCTTCTTTTTTTTTTTTTGTGTAATGAAGAAAAAGAGTTTTGGGGATATAATTATGAGGAACCGGAAAAGGGTCTTTTGCTTTTACTTCGTGGGTTCATAAACTTTGGTCAAATTGGCAAAAATAAGTTTATGGTTCTTCACGCTAATCACGGTGAATACTTTTCTTCATGGAAAGGTTGAGATTGGTAGCTCTTATGGACCCACCATTGTTTGATCCATGGCAACACTTGGAAAACTTTTCTGCTGCATTGTCTTGAGATGGGTTGTTCATGATTTCAATCAATGGCGAAATTGGTGGTCATAGTTGAAATTCAATGGATTTGAATTCACTGTATCCTTCATCCCAGTTACTATGGATCAATTCCCACATGGTGACTGAATCATAACATAGTCATCAACTATGGATTTATGTGTTTGGCTATCTATGTTGTGTGACTAGTGCAGAAGAGTGGTAAAAAAATTCAGACAAAGAAGAGAGAAACAACATGTCTTTATAGTTTATACTTTTTTCTGCAGAGACAAAACAAAAGTCTGATCATTTGTCTTTTGTCTGTATCAGCATGTTGATTGATGCACGAATGATCATCTATCATGTTGATTATGTTTTTGAGTTTTTAATTCTTAGATTTAGAGAACAGTCCCAAGTTTACGGTCATGTGTCGTTGGACTTTCAAGGGTTTTGTCTTTGAATTGGATTGGGTTGTCTTGTCTGCTAGTGTCTAGCACAATGTCATGTGTTTGCCCAATTCAAAATCTCATGTGCATGTCTGTGATGATCTGTTTTAAGTGCTTTTATTTTATTCATATTGACTTATTAGACTTATTAATTCTCATAATTCTGGATCTAAGCTGTTTCCTAGATACAGATGTTTTGATTTCAATCATGTTTTGTAAGTCCCAGAATGCTTACTTATCAGAAATAAACATTTATAAATTATGATCACGTCTTAACTCGGATTAAGGCGATGTTGATGTTGATGTTGATGTATGTTCACTTTTGATAGGACCAAAGTGAATGGCCGTTAGTGCAGCCCTTGCCTTCGTATGGAAGGGGACGAGAAAGACCCGGGGCTCGACACATTAGCCTCATTCATGGAGATGGACTCACGGACGTTGTCATTACAGGTATTTCCGCTCTACTCTTTGTATTGAATATAATTATATGGTTAGTTCACAGTTTAGTCAAAGGTTTGATGTGGACTAATTGCAAGTTTTGTCCTGGATTTCTCTCCTTGGAAAGAACTTAAGGAGATAGATTACTAGATAAAATCTTATAGTAACGTATATGCGGAGATTACAAATAAGCCGCCTTAACAAGATGGGACTTCAAACACTAACTTTAACAAGTTACAAACCTTGAATATCGAGACCTTAACGAGATGAAAAGACGGTCCATACTCGGCCCTTGGGTATGAAAGGAAAAGGGTTGATTTTGAATTACTAGATCAACAATCTTCATCACCACAAGTCCGGTCCGGTAGATGCAAGCAAGCTTTCTGTTTCTGGTGGTATGGTCTATGGTTAGGGAAAGGTTGGATGGGGATTGAGAGAGGGAGTTTGCCTTATTTAAGTTTGAATTATCGGATCAGTAATCTCGATCAGCAGTGGCTTCAGAGGTGCACAAGTCTTGTAACTTAAGCCAGCGTTGCGTTTCAGGTGGTGAAGAAGGGATTTTGAACAAATTATATACGTTACCTTATCGATGTTTCCATTTCATTGTACTCTTTTCCCAATTCATCGACATGACCCGTCATTGTATACTCCATGAATGAATGTCATTTTACTGAGCTGGTATGCAATCAGTGGTTCTACAAGATTGTAATGTAACTGGAACAACTTTGCAGGAGAAAACGGGACAATAGACGGGCAAGGGAAGATGTGGTGGGAGTTATGGTGGAACAGAACATTGGTTCACACAAGAGGCCATCTTGTTGAACTCAAGAACTCACACAATGTTCTCATCTCCAACCTCACTTTACGCAATTCTCCATTTTGGACGATCCATCCAGTGTACTGCAGGTTCCTACCTTCTACCCTTTTCTTCCTCGTATGTAATGATTCCGCGATTTGTATTCTTGTCTAGTTTCTACTAGAATGGAAGCTCCATGCATGGAAATACTGACCTCTGCTATTTGTCCTTCAGCAATGTTGTTATCAAGAATATGACAATCTTGGCGCCGATGAATGCCCCTAACACAGATGGGATAGACCCTGGTATGTTTTACTCATTTGAGCCTTCATTGCTTTGTCCACACCTTCCATCCATCATGCCTCACACACAGAAAGGTGAATACTTTTTTGCATTTCCCCGAATTCTGCAGACTCGTGCACTAATGTTTGCATAGAAGACTGTTACATCGAGAGTGGCGATGACCTCGTGGCTGTGAAAAGCGGGTGGGATCAGTACGGCATGGTCATGGCTCGTCCGAGTTCCAATATCATTATCAGAAGGATTTCTGGAACTACAACTACATGTTCCGGAGTTGGGATAGGCAGTGAGATGTCTGGTGGGATCTTCAACATAACAGTGGAAGATATTCGTGTTTGGGACTCTGCGGCCGGGGTGCGTATAAAGACCGACAAAGGTAGAGGTGGGTACATAGCAAATGTCACCATAAGGAATGTACTGATGGAGAGAGTGAAAGTTCCGATTAGATTTAGCAGCGGTTCAAATGACCACCCGGACGAGAACTGGGATCCGGAAGCTATACCGAAAGTGAAAGGGATCTATATAAGCAACATCCTCAGTCTTAATTCGAGAAAAGCCCCGATTTTGCTAGGCGTCGAGGGCACGTCATTCGAAGATATATGCGTAACGAATATTACGCTTCTGGGCCTGCCACCATCTGTGACATGGAACTGCAGGCATGTCTCTGGGTACGCGAGTGGCGTCTTCCCGTCGTCTTGTCCTGAGCTGCAGAACGAGGGGTCGGCGCATCGGTGTTCATAGATGATCCTGCAGTGTTGTATTTATGGTGAAATTTTGAAATCTATGTCAGATGGTGAAGACCCATGAGTTCTGGAAATTTTGGTGAAGAATCATGGCCTGTCTGAAACACTTAACATGGCCACTCTTTTTTGGTAAGCTCTGATTCTTTTGTACACATCCTTTGAAACACAAAATTCACTCAGAATCAAGATTTGTGAGGAACTGTTTCCTGTAGTTCCATGATAATGTGAAAACATCCACATTTTGTCCCATTTTGCTAATTGAAGTTGAAGATCTTGACAAGATGAAATACTTTCTAGAAATCAAAACTAAACCACAAAAAATAAATTGTATGCATAAGTTTATATATATATATTAATAAAACTATACGATTAGAAAACTATTTTCAATATCGATACATAGAATGCAATTCCGATAACATAGTAAAAAGTTATAAACAAAATAACATTTTTTCGAAATGTTTTTGTCAAAACTTAGTTTTTGGAAACAAATACTAACACACAAAAAACATACGGTTAAATGACATAAAATCTCATTACATATGCCATATGTATCTTAACGTAACAAATTAACAATAGTGTGATCAAACTATGATATCTTGGTAAAAAACAAAAATCAGTTGAATCGTAAAGAAGTTAAAAGATTTTTTTTTGTTTGCAAAGCTTAATTTTGTAAAATTCTCAACGATTTGGTAAATCTGAAACTTGACCTTCCAATTTTTTAAAAATAAAAGAAATAAAAAATGGAGAAGAGGTCATAAAAACTTAATGAAGAAAATATAAAAAAAAAATGGTAAACATAATACTAATAAAAATTCCACATTTAATTGATGGAGAAAATGGGTGATAAACGGTGAGAAAAAAATTGTATGATTGATCATTTTTTACAAAACTTTTGACGTTCTCTATTGATTCATTTCTATATGATTCCAATAATAGAAATATTATGGTAGTAATTGAGATAGAAATCAAGAGGATATGAAAGGTAGAAATAAACTACTTATTCAAGATAGTGGACTATATAGAAATCTATATATATATATATATATAAATATGTTAGAATGCAAAAAAGATGGGAGAACATTGATCTTCCGTCATATAAAAAAAAAACATTGATCTTCCGTGATAATTGTTAGGAGTGTTAAACGCACCGTTCCGACCTAATCCGGTCCGGCCCGAATCCACATTCGGTATGGAGGTTTTGAATTGGGGCTCCGATTGATCCGAATTTTTTTTCGGATTTATATAACCAAACCCAAAATTTGGTCTTATAAGACTCGGACTCATCGGACCGGATGGAACCGGCCCGTTTAAATCCTTCTTTGTAGATATTAATTTATATTTTTTGTTAACTTTTAAAAAAAAAATTAATCAGATTTCGGATTGGTCTGAATCCTGATTTGAACCCGAACCGAAAGTCTGAATTTTTTCGGACCGATAAATTTAAATTCAAAACCCAATATTTTCCGGGTAATGAGCTTAAGTTGGATTTCGGATTTCGGATTTCGGGTCAGTTTGCTAATAATTGCTCAGTTACCAGAACACTACTCTTAAATATATCAACGTCAAGTGTCACGTTGTAAGAGCAATGGCGAACAATAAAACATCATCAAAATCACCTATTGTAATGGAAAACATAATTTGATAGGCAAACCTTCACAAAATCCTAAGATAATTGGAAAAAAAATATATCATAATGAAATTGTTTCAGGAACAGATATGGTTGAATAAATGTGATCATATGTGATTTAGACTTTAACAAGTGTAGTGATATAGAATTGTAGTATATGTAGTTGATGTTGTCAAAAACAATTTATCAAATAATTCGAGATAAATGTTTTAAAATATATCTTCTTTCTCTTGTCCGTTCTTTCTTTCTTTAACAAAATTAAAAATATAAAATAAAATATCTTTAACACGATATGTTTGTTAATAAAACATAAAAATTGTAAATATCTAAATAATACAAACTTCTCTATAAAAATATATTCTCCTAAAATTCAATTCTACAATTGAAATATAGACAAGATTAAAAGGAACAAAAGAAATTTCGAGAAGCTATGAAATATGTCCGAAAAAACCAGCATAAAGAAAATGCTCTTCTCCTTTTTTCCCGAACATGCAAAAATTTGGTGGTGACATTATAATATGTATAACTGACGCATTAAAATATCATTAGATAAATGCTTTCTGGTATAAACTCTCGATTCAGATGGATAGTTACAATCTATCTTGGTGCAATAAAAAATCTTATAATTTGGCAAATAATAAAAAAGAGTGTTAACTTTGATTACGTAAACACAAATTAACCATTATTGCCTATATATAAGCCTAGCCTGCGTATATATATGTGTGTGTTCTATACAAACGTATATACGTATGTGAAATTCTTGCTGGGAGAGATTTTGATTTCAAGGCGTACATACATACATACATACATACATACATACATACATACATACATACATACATACATAGTGTTAACTTTGATTACGTAAACACAAATTAACCATTATTGCCTATATATAAGCCTAGCCTGCGTATATATATGTGTGTGTTCTATACAAACGTATATACGTATGTGAAATTCTTGCTGGGAGAGATTTTGATTTCAAGGCGTACATACATACATACATACATACATACATACATACATACATACATACATACATACATACATACATACATACATACATACATACATACATACATACATACATACATACATACATACATACATACATACATACATACATATATATATATATAATTAGATTGATTGAAAAGGGGAGTTCTAATTCAACCACTAGAAGCAGAAGATTGACAAAAGGATAAATATTAAACATAACCCTAATGATAATTAAAAAAAAAAACTTGATGTAATTCAGTGACGATATATAACCTAAGAAGCTAATCCAACCCCAAGAAAATCAAAGAAAGCAACGTTGTCATTCTCCTCTTTCCCAAGATCATCATCATCATCATCATCATCATCATCGTCTTCTCCGGTCAGTCCACGAGCTTCTCCTTCACGTTTTGAATCACCGGTAACGTGAAAAATCTCCTCTTGACTTCCATGGCCGCAATTGGAGACCGAAGAGGATCCAAGTTGATAATTCCTCGGTGCCAAAACTACAAGATTAGGATTATAACGCTTCCTCGTCCCAGAAAGATCGTAGATCGACGAGTCACACGTGATTGTGGAGCCGGTATGAGTCCAAGAACTGGTCCTCCACGGCCAGTGTTTCTTCTCGTCTTTGGATCTCCATGCTCCGAAGCTCGAGTTGTTAAGCCTAGGGAGATAGCTATGAGTAGAAGTGGTAGCGATGCTTTGCCAATCCCGCTTGAAACTCGCCGAGGATGCGTAGGAGGAGAAGCGTTCCCGTTTGCGTCTAGCCATAACCACGTGGAAATGGTTCTTGACCGCGTTATCCGTCCTCCCGGGAAACAATCTCGCGATCGAGGCCCATCGGTTGCCTTGAATCCGATGCGCCTTCAACAATCTCTCCTCCTCTTCCTCCGTGAAGGGTTTCTTGTTTATGTTCGGATCGAGCTGGTTGTACCATCTCAGCCTGCAACTCTTCCCTGTGCACAAAACCCAATCACCACAACAAATCAAGCCAAGAAACTTGAACAAGATCCAACTATACACACAATCTTGAAAAAGGGTATTATACTCGAATATGAGGAAAAACGATACTTGGATCTCTCTCTCTCTCTCTCTCTCTATATATATATATATATATATATATGTTACCGGATCGTCCCTCGAGATGTTGAGAGATGAAATTCCAGTTCTTGGGGCCGAACTGCTCGACGAGTCTCCTGAGTTTGTCGTCCTCAGCGGGTCTCCAGTGACCTCTTTGGCAAGTTTTGGCACTCTCAAAACTGCTGTTGCTCGTTCTTGAGATTTCCATGGAAACTGCTCTCTATATAAGTAAACGATTCAAGAGAGAGAGAGAGAGAGAGATCAAATGGACCGACGGAGTTGTTTTCGGAGAGATTGGGAATTGGAGAGGAACAAGACGGATGATGGACATAGTCGGTCTAAGAAGGCATGATAAAAGGATGAAAATAAGAACAACGATGGAAAGAAAAAGAATAAAATAGAGTGGGTTGGTTCCTCTCTCTCTCTCTCTTAGGGTTATGGATGGGAAGTCACTTTTCTTCTGTTTACAAGACAAAACCCTCACTGTTTTATATATGACTTGTCCACATACATGCACATGTATATGCAAATCCAGGTGCCTCCCTCTATACGTATATTTATATAAATGTATATTTATATTCTCTATGTATGCCCAGATTTTATTTAATTTATTCCTAGACAGAATACAAGATATCGGATGAATCTATGATATAGTTTTAGATTGGGTACGATATATTATTACATTTTGTTTATCATATGCTATTCCGGTAATCAGGATTTAAATATCTATTATAAGAGTTATTCAAATCTGCAAGTTATATTATTCAACGCAATGTGCTGCTCCAAAAATTTACATTTGAACTCCAATAGATTGATTAGGAATATCTACTAGAGTTTCATTTTATTTTGTTTTTTTATTATCAGGAGCAAATATTTCATCCATATAACCATTCATATTTCATTACGAAATTAGAATCAGTACGTGTTTACGAATTGATATATAATGTTCTTATACACCGAGTTTCGAAGGAGAAAGGGAAAACATACATGGAATAAATGAAACAAAAATAGAAATTCGAGAAAATGAGTTCGAACCGGTTAACAACAACACCAAATCAAACAATTGCAATCTAAAACCGGATCGGACCGGCCATTGGTCGTAGTTTTCTTGATTAGGGTAATGGCCTTGACGGACCAATCCAAGTTCCTGAAAAATTTCATAAAATTCAAACGTTACATGCACATGCCAATGCCAACTTGGTACACAATAACCAAACCGATGTACTAATTGGTCATGTTGCATTGCATGGAATTTGGCGAAATTTAGAAACCATATTGTTGCATGCAGTTTATTAGAGTGATGGAACAGGAAAAAAGTCTTTTATTCGGTTGAAATCGTGTAGTTGTTGAAGTAATTGCTGTTTTTATTAAGATAAATGATTTAATTTTGAATTTTATAATTGGTATACTTATTTTTCATTTTTTATCCTATATAATCACCGCATTTGGTTGCTTCTACATAAGGTATATATGACAGTCCATTTAAGGATTAACAACTAAGCATAATGAAATGTTTCTGTTACAAAATGGTTAGTATAAGGTATGCCCATTTATTTAAATAGGTCCACTTATTTAATGTTCACCTCTGTAAATTTACGACATTGGGTTCCTACCGTTTATTTTCTTCAGAGACAAATCAAAGCCATTCCACAAATAGTTTTTTTATTTATTAAATATTATTAAAATCATATTCGTGCCGCGTAATAAGATTTTATGAAATTGAATAATTATTCGTTTGCGGTTATATTTTAGGATTCATATTTAGAAACAAGAATAGTAAAATCAAAGCAAAGTTGATGATAATAAAGCATGCAAATCTGTCAATTTTGATTTTGCTCATCGTTCCTAATAAGGTGGCATGTCTTCCATTTCGGAAGGACAAATATACAAAGCAAACGTATTATTTTCAATCCCAATCTGAAACTTAGCAAAATTAGAAAAATTAAATTAGTTGTGTAGCCAATAAACTAAAAATTATATAATAATACTAATATTCATAATAATAATAATGATGATGATGATGATAAGAAATAATATGAATATTTATATAATTATATTAAACTTCATATATTTTTATAATTAAAAATATATATGAAATTATTTGTTTTTATTATCACCTTAATACAAATGAAATTTCTTCTAATTAATTTTTAAATAACACACACAACACACACGCATATACACACACATACATATTATATATATATATATATATCAAATCAATTCTGCAGTTATTTGCGTGACATAACTCCGCATCTTTACTTTGACTGTTTTACCCTTAAGGGTAACTTATAATTTTCAATCTATTTTTTTGTTATTTTTAAAAACATTAGAAGAACTTAGAATAGATGCATTGACTTAGCATAATAATCTTTTTTTTTCATTAAGAACCATTTTCAATCGTTAGGCATAAAAATTTTGGACTTAGAAAATCATTTTATAACGTTACATATAAAACATTTCTATGCGCTGATTAAATTTCGATATACCGACAAAAAGTTGGCCTGTCGATAAAAAAAAACTTTTTTAGAAAGATTTATTTAACCAATTCGTCCCTCAGTTCTGTATATATGGGCCTATTTCCTTTTTGGTTCATATAGAAAATTTATAATGCTTCTCCTGGGGAAACTTCACAAATACCCCTTTCGTGTCGCATGAATTTCTCGCCTACCCCAGAAAAGAAAAAAAAAAATTTGCGACCTTATTACGACTAATATATAACTAATATACAACAGATATATCCCAAAAAACTACTCTTATTTTAGTTGTATATCAGTTACATATAGTCGTAATAAGGTCGCAAAATTTTTTTTTTTTGGTGGGGTAGGCGAGAAATTCATGCGACACGAAAGGGGTATTTGTGAAGTTTACCCGCTTCTCCTACCATATGATTATAATTAAACGTTAGACAATAATTTCGATTCTGGATAAAAAAATTGAATCGGAACGATAAAAATTTAATGGCATTCAATGGAAAATTCAATTTTGTATCATTTCTTTTGAAGTCAAATCAATCCAAAATTGGTTTGGGATCCGATCATTATTATAAAATGGCATTAAATGTAATTTTTTTAATAAAAAGTGAACGCGTATTGGATTTTAAAAATTATGAATCGAATCAGATGAAACTATAAAAATGGAATAAATATTATTTTTCTAATAAAAATATCAAATTATGAAATGAAAACAAACTCAACTCAAAATTAGAAATACGCACTTATAGTTATCATTTTGAGTAGCACAGTTGGTTTTATTATTTCCAATCATTATTATAAAAGGTGTTAGATATTATGATTTCGATTTTTATTATTTTTATCGTACTTGAATGAATGATTATTTGACGTAAATGCAGTGAATATCATAAATTTTCCAACATAGAGAATGTATATTTATTGATATAAACCTAAAGAAAATCATTGTTGTTGTACAAAATTTTGAGAACGAATACCCGTATATACATATAAACATATGTATACATATGTGTATATATTCATTTGGGTAAGAAATGCCAGCGTATTTGTTACAAAAATGGCGTATAGAGAATATGTTGACAGCTACGCAAAACAAATTGCCTCAACTAATTTAGACGGGAACTTGATGAAATTAATGCTCGGGTTGTTATTATTACCATAAAAAAAAATATTCTAAAGTTGTTTTCTTTAGTAGGCCCGCTTATTAACTTTTTATGAAATATTTTGTTATTACAGCTTTATATCATATGTAACCAGATATATAATTTCTAATTCAACCCATTGTAGAATTATTAATAACATGATGCAATATGTATACTGGTCACTATAGTTATATATATATATATACATATATATATATCTAGAATTAGATTGCTTAATCTATTTCATACATTGGTCTATAAGATTATTGAAAATAATCCGAACGACATGTATTAGCCATTGAACTCGTTATTATAACCTTTATCAATCATCTCAATAACATCGCACATTGAATATGCCCAGTGGCGGACCCACCTTATAAGGAATGGGTTCACAGTCCCTCTTTCATTAACCAAAAAATGTATATGTAAATTTTTCTTATAAATTTTGTAAAATTTAGATAAAATTATTAGATGCCCCCGTAAAAATAATCTCCCTCTCGCTATAAAATTACATTTATGATATTGTTGCCCCCTTACATAATTTTCTCTAGGATATGCCAATAGGATCCTAGCAGCGTTCAAGATCGTTATTAGATCTTCTATGATCACGTATAAATATACATCCAAATATATATATATTTCAAAAAATCATAGGAAGTATACACAAATATTTTATCCAAAATCTAAAATCTCAATGTTTATCTATAATATATCTACATTCAAAATGTCAACGTTATAGTCTTCCCCTATTCGAGGATATCAATAATTTCGTTATAAAAAAAGTATGGGTGGACGTTACGGTTCAGTTCGTCCGAATCGAACATTTCCGAGGTACAGATTCCGGAATTTTTGTTTTCTAGGTCCGATTACGCAATCGTTGCTTAATCTGACCAACTGTAACTCAAATAGACATGATTCATTCTTTTGGATGGTCCATAGTGAATGAATGCATGTAACTTAATCAAGATATATGATATGCTTGATTGAGTGGGAGCTCCGGGATTGGAATACATAGTCGAATGGATTGTCTATTCGGATTATGTTAATCGTTGCACAGAAATCGGTTAGATCTAGTAGCTCTACGAGTAAAGCAATTGTCAAGGCCTCGATCATACGTGTCATGGGTCATGCCAAAGGTGAGTGTGCCGTGCTATCTTGGTGATTGAGTATTTTTTTTTAATCGTACCATTCAAAATTTTCGAATGACATATTTTTTATAGAATCAAAATTTTCAAAACCGAACCAACCTTATAGAATTTCCGAAAAACCAATTTTTTTAAAATCTAATTTTTTTAATAAAAACCGAAATCGAACCATACCGAAACCAAAACTAAATTGAACCGAATAATATATGGTACTAATTGGTATAAACATTAGAATACCGAACATACAGTTAACCGAATCCTGAAAAGCCACCCCTACAAATCGGTAACACTTTTGCGCTATCAAATGGTGACGTTGGACAAGTGTTACCAATTTGAATGACCAAAATGTTAACGAAATTGTGTAACCAATTTGGTGATGCATGTTGCTTACAAGTATGATCATTTAGTTACGAGAATATAGATTGAAGTGACGAGGCAATGATACTTTAGCTAGTCTCCCACTTCATTTTTAAATAAAATTACACAACAAATTAATCCAAATCTAACAAAACTTTGTATGATTTGTTTTCAAATAAAATTTTATGAAACTAAACTGACACCGGAATATATATATATATATATATATATATAATACATTGAGTTCGGGTTAATACACATTTAAATCTAAATTTGGTTGGTTTTGGTTTTCTAATAAAAGATTATTTGTTCTAGAAACAATTTTTTTATTTCATTAAATCTTATTTTAGCACATTTATTATTCCGCTGTCAGTTTAGTTTCATAAGAGTTTGAAACAAATTAACTAAAACGAAATTAAAATTATATAAATATATATATATACTCATTACACACTAGTATATATGTGTATGTATATCCAAATCTAAACAAAATACAATATAATGGTCCAAATTTTTTAACCCAAGTTTGGGTGGCCTAATGGTGAAAGAACATGCAAAGTATGCTCTCATCCTGGGTTCAAATTTAAGTCTGAGGAGGGGCATTCACCTGGGCTTCCCCGGTTTTCTGGGAGATGTAGTCGGGTCAAAGACCCGGTGAACTTCCGGATTATCAAAAAAAAAATACAGTCTAACCGAATATGAACAAAATCAACTGTCACCATTTTATTTATTTTATGTTGTCTCTATTTTATCTTCTATATTTAATGTTATTAAATACTCCCTCCATTTCATTTTAAATATCATTTAAAACTTAAACACATAAATTAACAAAAATAATGATTTGTCCAAAATATCCTTATTTATTGCATAGAAAATTGTTATTTATAAATATATAGAACATTTAAATATTATCAATTAGGAATAAATTTGGAAAAAAATTAAAAATTACAGAAAAAAATCTAAAAACGTCATTTATTTTAAAATAAAAATATTATTGTATAACTTCATTTAATCTGAAACGGAGGGATTATTTAATTGTATATCTTATTTTCAAAGCCCACGTGTGTATGCGTCATATGGAGAAACGGTGCCATTGATTTTGCCTGATGCTTGGGAAATTGTTTATTTATTGAATACGAAGATTATATATATATATATAATTATGTAAAAATTAATGTTTTCCTTTTTTTGTCGTTTAGAGATGGCATAGACAGTGGCCGATTTCACTTGGGTTCGCAAGCTTACAACACTTAACTAACCAATATAATTAAATCCCAGATAAAATAATTTAATGATAAAGGCACGAAAACCACGTTTTCTTTTTCTTTTTCCTTTTTTTTTTCTTTTCGTAATATTTTTTTTTGGATAAATTTTGGTAATATATTTTTAATTTTTGGTTTTTCTCATTTTACTACTGTACACACAAATTTCTGTTTTATTATACACGCGTGTACATACATACATATGTATATATATAATACATATTTTTCTGTATATATATTTTTTAAAATCTGCCATCACCATTTAGAAAATATAAATGATGAGTAACAAATAATGTAACTAAAATCACTAGAATTGCAGAGGTATAAAACATTAAAAAAATATACCCAATATTAATTTACAAAAAATGTCAATAAAGGTTGCATTGCTTTGTCACTTTGTATCATATTTTACATATTTTACATATTTTATATGAAGACCAATATATATATATATATATATATATATATATATATATATGGATTGAAATTGTGTAGAGGTAGTGAGTATGTGGGGGTTGAGAATGACACACGACCTACCAAAAATAGAGAAAATGTCAATAAAGGTTGCATTGCTTTGTCACTTTGTATCATAATAATTATAAAGCCTTCGGCCCTCCATTTCTCCCTTTCCCTTTGCTTCAAACCAATCCAAAACCGGTTTAATCTTAGCCTTACCGCTCTTAACCGGACCGAACGAACCGAAGCTAACTTTATCAATTGAAATCTAGTTCTCAACCTAAGAATTTATATTTAAATTAAGAAAAAAATTCCATAGCAAATAAATATGTCAACTTTTTAAAATGTGGAATAAATACACAAATTTTCTAAAAAAAATGTCTAAACAATATAGGAAAGTTAGAGAGATGACTACGAAATCAATAAAATAATTGAAGGCATTTTACGAAATCGGTATAGTTTTGGTATTATTTTAAAATTTGGTGTATTTATTTATTATTTTAAGAAAATTTAATATATTTATTTGGAAATTAAAATTTTGTGTATTTTTTATATATTTATACAATTAGTATATTTTTTATGGGATTTTCACTTGAAATTATTCAATATAGAAAACTCATTTCGTAATTACAAATAGATGAGAAGTAGCCATTTATTTGGTGGATTTTAATTTCTCCCATAGATATAATATATTCGAGTAAGGATTTCCTAAACTCCGTATAAATGTATATAAACTTAGATTGTGAGTAAAACAGTTTTTCTTGAACCGATCAGATTCAGCTGGTTTATCTGTTCCGCGTGGTTTGCCGGCTATTGCATAGAGTCAGAGGTTTATTGTCCGAGATGTTGTCCGATTCGCGGGTCGGCCGGTATCCGGTCCAAAGAACTGTGGCGATAGATTCTCCACCATTACCAAAAAAAGAAGCTTATATTTTTTTTTAATAAAGAGAAACCAATGGCTAAACAACCAAAAAAAAATCTCCATGAAAAGAGAAAGTCACAAATTGTTTGTATCTCCCAGTGAACACTTTTAGTCTTTAGCCCCTCATTTTTGACAAGAAATCAAACACAATGTATTTTCTACTTCAATGACCTATTCGTATGTATGCCCATTTGTAAAAATTACACATTGCTTAGACATTCTCTTACACCAATTCACTTACACAACACGGTTTTGTCAAAACCGAGGCATATTTACCGCCAAATTTCAATTATCTCAACCGAACCGAACCCGGTTTGGTTTTCAATGGCCCTTGTCGTAAAGCTCAAATCTTTACTGTTACAAACTCAAATGAGACCAAAAGAACCACATGAATGAACAATCTCTTCTATTCAAGAACCAATACACCCACTAAAAACTAAGCCAGATGGATCACTAACAATACAATGGGAATAGGTTTTGCAAGTTTCTCCCATGAAACAGATATTGAATAGAATTGGTAGAGGGGTGAATCCTCTTTCCTGCCGGTGAACTAACAGCCTGATTTACCGCGTAAAATCTCCACGTCGCCTCAAGTAAATTGGGAAGAGTTGCGGAAATTTCATCATTTTGGCCTCGGCAACGCCGGAAAGTGTGAGGAATGGTGGTTTTTTCAGGACTTCTCCCTCATTTTGGCTCTGGCGAAAAAAACTCCGGCCAAAAGACCTGCAAAATCGGCTTCCCTCGGGTTAATGACAAGACAAGCGAGGCGTAAGTATACAGGATTTTGGCAATGTTACAGGTCTTTCACGTTGATGGAAGTATACTTACCAAAGAATATGCTTGCAGAGTTCTGCAAACTGGTCGGTACATGGAAAAGAACTATGCCCGCAATGGACAGAGGAATCTTGTTTAGGGATCCCACGAGGCTGTAAGTTTGAAATCAAAATTGATGATGCACCTCTTGTTTTTTCCACTTGACAGATCAAATATAAAGAATAAACTAAACCACTAGGCAAGTAGGTAAAGAACAAAATAGATACAAAACTCAGAAAAACGCCAACAGCAAAGCCCAAGCAACGTCTTGTATGAATGCATCTCTATCTCTAGTTTCTCACCTGTAAGTTGTAGCCCCAGTTTGATGAAGAAACCACATGGAACTGAAGCTAATGGCAAGACCCATAAACCCACTTAGCGTCACGACGCACCAGAAAACGGGTAATCGCAAAAGTGGCCTGCAAAACATAAAACATAATCACTTAGAGTTTTCAAAACAACTCAATTAGGCATTTTCATCAGAGAAGGAACGAGGAAAATAACTCACGTTTTATAAAGATAATCAACCTCATTGAACGCAACAACAAGAATAAGCCCAAGTGGTAACGAGAGGGTGTTATTAAGCAGGACCATAGAAAACTCGTTCAAATTTCCAGATGTAGTAACTTGCTTGGCAGTGTCCATGATTTTCCTCAGAGTCAGCTGCATAAAAAATAAATTAGAAGCAAACCAAACATGAACCCCAACTTTGACTTGTATACAATTAGCTACATGAAGAATTAAACATAAATCTCTAAAATAGCTAACAATTCCAAGGGATATAGTTTTGCTGAACTGGGTTTACAACATTAATTTATCAAAGCCGTGCAACTGTATTTTACTGATCTGAAAAATGTGTAAGAACCGAGTGATGTGTAAATTGCAAATTCACATCCTTTGTCCACAAAATGCTCTTCGACGTAGTAAGCTTATGTTAGATCAACAAGTAACTACCATAGCATGATTCGGCACAGGATTGCAAATGGATATGCAACTCAACGCAAGTGGTTCCATCAACACGCTGAGGCCTTTGCCAAAAGGGCAAGCAAAGGACCATCATCCAATGGCAACAACAAAGGAATAACCATCTGGGGATGCTTCTTAAGCACTAAGATTTAAACAAACAGTAGACATACTTTTAGACCCCTCTTTTTTATCCTATCATTTTTTTATGTCAACGAGCTTTAAATGACTAGTGGTAAAATGAGATAATAAACACAAAAGATTCAAATGCCAGACAGTCTACTCACAGAGTAAGAAGCAGTTAAGAAGCAATTAGCAATCTGCCAAGCATAGCCAACAGCGTGGAAAGATAGATCAGTTATCCCCCCAGAAACTGCTGAAATGATCTGCATATGAGATGGAAAAGGGTTGAGAATATTTTCTTTCCCTGCATCCAGTCCTCGAACTACATATGGATAAAGCATCACGTAACTAAAAATGGGTCTCCTCCCCTAAAACCACTATAAAATGCCCTTAGCAGAGATGGCTCCGAAGGAACAGTTTTATATTTCCAACAGTTTTCAGAACATCATGTCATTGTACTGAAAGCAGATAAGCCTAACCCATGAAGAACAACAAAATGAAAGAGTGGGTGGTTTTGTCGGTGAGGAGATATGCTTTTATGAGTTCAAATTTAAACACTTCTTGCGTGCATTGTCATACCATTAAGAAGAGAGCAGACCAAACTCTGCTGTCATGATGCTTGTTAAATATATACATCTCACCAACTGCAGTTATTACATTAGTGACATTCTTCAGGACGGTGACCATTGCTACATTGATGTATTTCAAACTGTCAAAGGAAAAATAAACACATTCATTAAATTTCAAATATTATTTGCATACATCCTTAGAACACAATTGATAAACAACAGTAAACATAGAAACTATCATAAATTCTTTCGTTTATGGAGTAAAAACCAAAATATCTAATGGTTCAGAAAGTTGATAAAGAAATGGAATAGTCATTTTACAAACTCTGGACCCTCTTTCAACCAGCTCTGTGCTAGGGGACTTTGCATGTAAGATTTAACTTGAGAATCAACAACCAAATCCATTTATGCAGACCCATTTAGTTATGAATTGTTCATTAGTCCCAGAGGTTGTGGCTTGATATCCTACCTATACAAATCTTTCATGGGTCTTCTTCTCATTCTAGCTAATAATTTTAAACTTTATGAGGTCATTCATGGAGTCTAAGCATGAAGTAAGAAATTAGAGAGAGAACAAAATATTTTCTGGGTAAAATAGTAGAAGGCAGTTCATACTTCAACTACCTGATAGGTGACTCTTAAATACCAGAGATTCTTTCCTTGGCACTACATTAAGATGAAGCTTTGAAAAGAAACACCAGATAAGGCAAAAACGGGTTCCTACCTAAACATGCTTGTGATGAGCATCCCAACAAATATCACGTTCACAGGAAACCAGACCTTTAGCAACCTCCATGTTAGTGGTTCCGTCGATATTAGACCCACCAATTTCAAGATCGCCACTATGATCACTGAGATGAAGTTCTGCACCACAACAAAAGGGTAAGACCATTAGACATTACATCTAAAAACGAATATTAAACTGACACCAAATTTTAAACCGTATTACTGCAAAGGATAAACCACAATGTTATTTTGATTGGAAAGTCGCAGTAAAGTACCTGGTATAACATCAAAGATATCCCAGCATTAAAGTTATAGCTGGAGAGAACAAACTTGTTCACCAATATCATGCAACAAGATGAAATGCAATAAGCTAAGCCAGATAACAAAGTCTGATTTGGTATTTTTCCGTGGATTGGCTTCTCTACACTTTTTCCCGCCTTGCCATCTTCCAAGTCCACTTCATTGTGTTCATGAGAATTCATAGCAAATGATAACCTAGAAGCGAAAGAAAAGAAATGAAGCATATCACAAAATGCATTTTAACTTTCATGCTGGCAATCAAGAAACCAAAGGAACCCCATATTGGTTTAGCACAAACCTAATAACAATGCTAATGAGGAAATGAATCACATTGGTTTACGAGAAAAGAGTAATGAGGAAGAAACCGAAAGATTTTTGTCGTGGAAGTCGGTGAAAAATACTATGCATGAATCATTTGCTCTAGAATGATGATCATAAGCCCCCCCCCCCCCCCCCCCC